TTGCGCCAGGTTTCTGGAAAAATTGGAAATTTGGCAAAACGGGGTGGCGCGCCCGCACACGAAGGTGGCGCGCCCGCGCTTCTGTGGTGGAGCTCCCGCGCCTCTTCGTGCGCGCCCGCGCCTCCTTCTTCTTCTACGGTTTTGCGGTTATTTCCTTTATATTGTATCGGGGCCTTTGTTTTTTCAAGATACAGAAAATTATCTTCCTCTCTGAATTTTTTCCCTCTCGACACCATTATTGAAGAAACTTGCAATCTCTTCTTTAATCCTCTATCATTTAAGTTAATTGTTTGAGAATTTGATCATCATTCAAGGCATGTATGCAAGGTGAAGCATTGGATCAAAACCTTTCACAAGGTTGTTGATGGTGAAGAGCTCTATATGGGGAACAACTCTTCCATCATGGTCCAAGGAAGAGGACAAGTTGAGCTAATGTTTAGTTCGGGAAATAGTATCATTCTTAGGGATGTCTTATATGCTCCGGATATTTCTAGAAATCTTATATCAGGCCCTACCCTGAATAGACTTGGATATAAGCTAGTATTTGAAACAGATAGATGTATTATTACTAGAGGTAGCACTTTTATAGGACGTTGTTACTTGACTCATGGTTTGTTTAAACTCTCGTTAAGAGAGAAGTGTGTATTGTTGAATGATGTTTGTATGAATGTTGGTAATGACAATGGAGTGAATTTGTTTTATTTATGGCATTCTAGATTGGGTCAGGTTAATTACAATAAGTTGAATTTCATGTCCAAACTAGAGTTAATTCCTCCATGTGATATTTCTCTTGATAAATGTTCTACTTGCATGCTTAATAAGATCACTAGAACTCCTTTTCAGAAAGTTGAGAGATGTTCTAAGATCTTAGAATTGGTTCATAGTGATTTATGTGACTTTTATAGTACACCTTCTTTGGGAAATAAAAGATACATAGTTACGTTTATTGATGATTTTTCAAGATTTTGCTATGTACATCTTTTATATTCCAAAGATGAAGCCTTGGTTAAATTTGATATTTAAAAGAAAGAGGTAGAAGTGCAAGTAGAATCTTTAATTAAGTGATTGAGAACCGATAAGGGAGGGGAGTATTATGATCCTGGTTATTTCCAATCTTTGGGTATTATTCATGAGACTACAACTGGCTATGCGCCACAATCAAATGGTGTAGCTGAAAGGAAGAACATAACTCTTCAAGAAATGGTTAATTCCATACTATCTTACTCCGGTTTGAGTGAAGGGTTTTGGGGTGAAGCTATGTTGACGGCTTGTCACATACTTAACCGTGTTCCCACTAAGGGAAAGGATTCCACTCCTTATGAACTTTGGTACAAAAGGAAACAAAACTTGAAACATCTCAAGGTTTGGGGTTGTAGGGCAGTTGTAATAGTGCCCGGTAACAAAAAGAGAAAGCTCGGTGAAAGGGGTTTGGAATGCATTTTTATAGATTATGCTGAGCATAGCAAAACCTATAGGTTCTATGTTATACAACAAAGTGACTTTATTTCGAAACATTCGATTATTGAGTCAAGAGATGCAATTTTTGATGAAAACTGATTTTCATCAATGAGTAGACCTAAGGATCTACAAGCAAGTACCAAAGGGAAGGAAATTGTTGATTATAATGATCAACTTGATTCTCATGTAGGTTCATCTAATAATGAGGATGAGACTCCTCATGTTAGAAGAAGTAAAAGACAAAGGAAAATTAGGAATCCTCTAGATGAATTCATAATTTATTTGGTTGAAGGATCTAGGGATGTCCTTAGTTCTACTACTCCATATTGTTTCAATGTAAATAGTGACCCAAAAACTTATAGCGAGGCTATATCTTCCCAAGATAGTGCATTTTGGAAAGAAGCTATAAATGATGAGATGGACTCCATCATGGGAAATGACACTTGGGTCTTAGAGGATTTACCTCCCGGTTGCAAACCTCTTGGTTGCAAGTGGATTTCACTAGGAAAGGGAGGCAAAAGCATGGTGTTGACTATTTCGATACCTATGCACCAGTTGCAAGAATTACCTCCATAAGGTTATTGATTGCAATGGCTTCAGTTTACAATCTAGTGATTCATCAAATGGATGTCAAAACGGCATTACTTTATGGAGATCTAGAGGAAGAAGTGTACATGAAACAACCCGAAGGGTTTGTTTTGGAAGGGCAAGAAAACAAGGTGTGTAAATTGGTTAAGTCATTGTATGGACTTAAACAAGCACCAAAACAGTGGCATCGAAAATTTGATGACACGATTTTGTCCTTTGGATTCAAAGTGAATCAAGCTGACAAGTGTATATATAGCAAATTTGATGAAAAAGGTCATGGTGTCATCATTTGTCTATATGTTGATGATATGCTTATCTTTGGTACAAGTCTACAACAGGTAGAATTGACCAAGTAATTCTTAACCTCATCTTTTTAGATGAAGGATTTGGGGGAGGCGGATGTCATTTTGGGCATCAAGATCATTAGGGACAATGGAAGACTTATTCTAAGTCAATCTCATTACATTGAGAAGATGATCAAACGGTTTAATATGTTTGATAAGAGTCCGGTGAATACCCCCATGGAACCTAATGTTAAATTGGTCAAGAATTCGGGGAAAACGATTTCCCAATTGGAGTAGTCAAGGATAATTGGATCCTTGATGTATGGCATGACAAGTACAAGACCGGAAATTGCATTGGCTGTGGGAAAACTTAGTAGATTTACTAGTAACCCGGGTGCACAACATTGGTTTGCAGTTCGGAGGGTTTTGAGGTACCTTAAGGGTACATTGGACTATGGTTTGTCTTATAGTGGATTTCCTTCGATTTTAGAAGGATATTCTGATGCAAGTTGGATCACTTACAAAGAGGATGACTCTTCTGTAAGTGGTTGGGTGTTCATGTTTGGGGGAGGTGCCATTTCATGGTCTTCCAAGAAACAAACTTGCATTGTCGATTTCACTATGGCAGCAGAATTCATAGCTCTTGCCTCAGCAAGTAAGGAAGCTGAGTGGTTGAGAAATCTCATGTTAGAGTTGCCTTTATTGCCTAAGCTAATGTCACCGGTGGCAATCCATTGTGATTCGAATTCGGCTTTGGTAAAGGCATATAGTCAAGTGTATAATGGTAAGTCTCGGCATATTTCACTAAGGCATAGCCTAGTGAAAGAGCTTATCAATGATGGGGTCATAAGTCTTGACTATGTTCCTAGGAAAATGAATTTGGCGGATTGCTTTACTAAAGCAATGCCAAGACATTCCATCATATTTGCTTTGACTGGAATGGGTTTATGTCCTAAAGCACAAATCTGTGAAACCTAATCTAACGCTTGAAGAAACATCAAGTCTTAGATTCAATGTGGTTGAATTACATTTTTGTTGTTTGTTAGCAATATTTGATGATTCAAATTGCTATGGTACTTGTGATGTGCTAGGTAGCGTTTATTTAAAGTTCTCAAAGATTTAGAGCTGAGAAGCTCTAGATGATGGTGTCTTGTCACAAGGACATTTTTACGTATATGAGAACCTACCTATATAAGTTCGAAGTTTGCCGCTTCAAGAAGTCTAGTTGGACATATAGACTTTGATGAACTTATGAAAGATACGGACACATGGCTGTATAAAAGTGTCAAGTGAAATTCGAGTTATCTTGTGTGTATTTCACCTTCGAATGGTTAGAGATATCCGTGTGATTCAATCCATATGGAAATCATGGGATATGATCATCGTTAAGTGTGTTATACTAAGTGTCAATTCAATCCGTAGGGACATTGACATTTAAGCATGAGATGAAGCTTAATTGATAGAAGTAGAGAAGGTTTTAAAGGAACACTCTAAATGGGGGAGGATTGTTGAGTTATTTAGAGTGTTGAAGTGGAGAGCTCGCTCCACTTGTTAGCGCGCTCGTGAAAGGCAGGCGCGACCCGCTCTGAAAGCGCGACAAAATCGCGCCGAGTTTCTCGAAAATCTAGCAGATTTTAGAGGCCCGCCCGCGCCTAGGGCGCGACAAAATCGCGCCAGGTTTCTGGAAAAATTGGAAATTTGGCAAAACGGGGAGGCGTGCCCGCGCACGAAGTTGGCGCGCACGCGCCGGAGGGTGGCGCGCCCGCTCCTCATGGTGGCGCGCCCGCCCTTCTGTGGTGGAGCGCCCGCGCCTCTTCGTGCACACCCGCGCCTCCTCCCTCTTCTACGGTTTTGCGGTTATTTCCTTTATATTGTATCGGGGCCTTTGTTTTTTCAAGATACAAAAAATTATCTTCTTCTCTGAATTTTTTCCCTCTCTACACCATTATTTAAGAAACTTGCAATCTCTTCTTTAATCCTCTATCATTTAAGTTAATTGTTTGAGAATTTGATCATCATTCTACACATTTAAGTGCTTAAAGTGTAGAGTTCGTCTATTGTATCTCAAAGCGTATTTCTAATTCAACCCAAGCACCGTTGTGGGGGAAATTAACAATTTAGGAAAGTGTTCTCACGCCTTAGACGAGTATCAAGTATCAAAGACTCACGTGGTCCATGGTATTCTCATGTTTTTGGATGTTCATTTGGCTTGGAGTGAGGCAAATATAGTTTTTCATACTTGTAGTGTAGTTTGATACTCTGTAATTTTTGCTTTCTAAACTTGTTGGTGTTTGGTTGTTGTTGTAATTAGTATTATTTTACATTGTAATTTTTATTTCTCAAATTCTTAGAATTAGAATTTGTTCTTTATTAGCATTATTCATAACAATTCGAACCTGGAATCTAGGATATTAAAAACTTTAACAAACTAAAAATAAAACCATTAAAGCAAATGCATATTACTATTAATAGTTGACAAAAATATTATACAACTATATACAGAATATAAGGGGGCCAAGTACAAAAATCTAAAGACACTAAATTGGGCCGCGGGGGCCGGGCCTCCACCAGCCCCCCTTGGCTTCGCCCATGGTACGCATCACATACATATAGGCATATAGCAGCAGTAGTCTACAAAAGCAAACTTTTAACCTCCTTGCTTTTAGATATTTGGCCCAATCAGAAAGCCCTACAATTTAAGTCTATGAACAATCATTCCCCCTTTTCTCCTAAACGCTAAAACCCTAAACCCCCATTCTCTCTTCTCTCGGGTAATCTCTCACCTTCTTCAATGGAGAATTCAACAACGACTCAGAAAGAAGAAATTGAAGTAGACGAAGATAATCAGAGCTTTGAGGAGCTAAGTTTGGACCCTCGTCTTCTTCGAGCTCTTATTAAGAAAGGAATCGAAAAGCCAACACCAATTCAGCGTGTCGCCATTCCTTTAATTCTCGTAAGTTCTTCTTCTACATTCGTTAATCTTCAAATTAAACCCTAATTTTCAAGGAATTTGTTCAAAAATTACATGAATTTGTTCAAAAATTTGATGAATTTGAACAGGAAGGAAAGGATGTGGTTGCCAGAGCTAAAACTGGGTCAGGGAAGACATTTGCGTATCTACTTCCATTGCTCCAGAAACTATTTTCGGATTCCAGCCCGAATAATCGTCTCGGTCCTGCCGCATTAGTTCTTGTTCCTACTCGCGAATTATGTCACCAGGTATAGAATTTAATTATTCATGTTCTCATTTTTTCTAATGTGGGTTTAATTTGGGGTTAGGGTTTTTGATGTGTGATTAAAATTTGTACAGGTTTATTCAGAAGTGACGTCTATTATAGAATTGTGTAGAGCTCAGTTGAAAGTTGCTCAGCTTACTAGCACTATGTCAACTATTGAGATGGTTAGTTGTCATTTATAAGCTCTTTTTTAAGTTGTTCATCTTTGCTGTAATTCGAGTATGTTATTAATGTCGATTTCGTTTGTTTGTGAATTCTATCAGAAGCAGGCTCTGTCAGGCCCTGCGGATATTCTGGTGTCAACACCTGCTTGTGTGCATACTTGTTTGAAAGCTGGTGCTCTTCAACCAAAAGCCATTCAGGAATCGCTTTCTATGCTCGTTCTCGATGAGGTTAATCTTGATTTTAGTATCTCTTTATTATAGAGCCGGGCAAGCTGTGGAGAGTTGATGTATTAGTTTTAGGCTAGCAGTTATTTGTGGCAGTGATTATTTTCCGTATTTATAAACTTGTGTTTATGTTCAGGCAGATCTTCTGTTGTCTTACGGATATGAAGATGACCTAAGATCTCTTACAGCCCATGTCCCTAGACGTTGTCAATGCCTCTTGATGTCTGCTACATCAAGGTTTGTTCCTTATTATTATATTTAATATTTTTGTTGCTTATTGTTGATTCACGAATTTCTGTTATCTTTCTTGGCTCTTTAAGATTGATCAACGAATTAGTTTTTCTAGAGGTGGATTCCGTTGGGGATAACACTTTTAAATGTATGTATGAATGTGCCTGATTAATATTTCTTTATTACCTATATAGTGCTGATGTTGAGAAGCTGAAGAAACTTATTCTACACAATCCCTATATTTTGACTTTGCCGGAGGTTGGTGGTAGCAATGATGAACTTATTCCTAAAAACGTGCAACAATTTTGGGTAAGAGTTATTTTGTATGTTTACGATTTAAACATTATTCTATATTTCATTTTGATAAAGCATCCCTGTTTTTGTGTCAGCCTAATTATCGTGATATGTTTAGAATTATACGGATGAATCATTAATAATCTCTGAAGAAACTCCTAGAACTGGTGTGGGGATTTCTGAACGATTCGAAGACTTTTGAGGAAATAATACAGAGTGATAGAAACCTTCTTTATTATGGATCATCTTCGTATGGGAAAGACTTATGAGTTATGACCCCTAAAAATTGAGACATAGTTAATACTGAAGAGTAGAAAAATGCCTATTGCATTAGTAATTGGAAGAAATATACATGTACTGTGTTTTTGTGATGGGAATAACTTCTATGTGGTGTTGTCTCGGTGCCTTCGTTTTTCAATTATACTTTTTGTTTTGCGTTAGATATTGTTATGATTGTAGGGTGATATGAACACCAAGTTGATCTTTCTACTATTATGCTGTAAGCAATAAGCAAAGCAAATAATTGATCTAGTTATGACTCAAAAAGACTTTGCAGCATCTGGCTATCTGGAAGTTCAGGGAATTTCGATATGTGTTTTGTTGTTTATATAATCAGTATACTCATGAACAGCTTCATCTCTCCACGTGTTTCCCCCTCGTGATTTGAATGTTTATGAAAGTTTAGGAATCATTTTTTTTTTTTTTTTTTTTTTTTTTTTTTTTTTTTTTTTTTTTACCCAAGATGTATTTGGTATCAGTTATGGGTTATGTGCTGCTTTTATATTCTTTATGCAAATAACTTACTTTTCTTTTTATTTTTCTAGATTTCTTGCAGTGCTCATGATAAGTTCATCTACATTCTTGCTCTTTTAAAGCTGGAATTGGTTCAGAAGAAAATACTCATCTTCACTAATACAATCGACATGGGATTTAGGTTAAAACTCTTTTTAGAAAAGGTATTGCTAATTTTTTATAATACCTTCGCAATGACCGACAATAATGTGCTCTTTTTCCGGGATGTTTGGCATTATGTAAATGAACTTTCATTTTGCTTATTAATGACTGAATTGAGGATATAAGCTTTGAGCCAAATATCCATGAACCTTGCTAGAATTTTGATTACATGTGGCCACAATAGGTAATGTTGAGTACTGTTTTCACGTCAAGGGTTTTTTTTTTTTTTTTCTAATTTATACATTTGTATGGCAGTTTTCAATCAGATCAGCTGTTCTAAATGCTGAGTTACCTCAGAATTCTAGGCTTCATATGCTTGAGGTATGAGCTGTATCTGCCATTTCTTTACCCTTCAATTTAGTTGGACTTTGTGCAACTTGTGCTTACCTAAGCTCTTCGTTTTTGGATTTGGCTTTTTATTCTAGAAATTTGGATTTTGGGACATTGGTTCTTGACCCTGTAGCTCTTTGTTGATCAGGAATATAATGCAGGACTCTTCGATTACTTAATTGCAACTGATATCAGCCAAGCTGGAAAGGATCAGGAGGATAGTGAGAAAAAATCGGAAGGAAAAAAATCCAACAAACGCAGGAAGCCAAAATTGGATGCAGAATTTGGTGTGGTGAGAGGCATAGACTTTAAAAATGTGCACACGGTATGTGTTCATTTTTTTTTTTTTAATAATATATGCGGCCATGCGCGTTAGGTTGTTTTGATCTATGCTACTTTCATATTTTCAAAGCCCTGTGATTCATTAATCCATATCACATGTTATCTAAGATTTTGTTTGATGAGTCAATCTCTGTTTTAGCTTTTTGTACTAGTCAACATATCTTTTCCTTGTGGTAGCATATGAGGAAGATTACAGTTCTGACTCTTGCATAATTTAGTACTAGAATAGCATGCAACTACATGTTCACTCTTAGGTGTATAGCTTGGTGGACTCTAATTTCAATTCAGAAATATTTATATACCTAACAAGACTTGAGTTTGTGATCTGCTGCTCACATCCGCCCAACTAAACAAGGGTCTACAACCAAGACCTATTCTTTGATCAATACGCAACTTGCTGGAAAGAGTAATAGAATGACCGTCAACAAGTTCAACAAATTTTTCGTTGGGATTTGTTAATGGTTTAGGCATCTTCCGGACATGTATTTGATGATCCTAATTAATCTGTCAATGATACTGTTAATCATCATTATTTGTAGTGGTTGTGTATTGATCAAAGTTTAAGGTTTTGGTTGCTTGTTGCTACTTCTCTTGAGATTTTGGTTGAAGTGCATGATCTTGTTTTTACTTCTCAATGATGTTATCCAAATTAGTATATTTAATAACGATTTTATGTATGTACTTATAATTGTTAAGATTTTAATCTAGAATACTTGCATCTTGTTGGAGGCTGTTATAAACACACTTGGTGGATTAAAGTGAAATCGTAAAGGTTACAGCCAAACTGATAAGCACCATAAATTGATAGACATACTGATTGTTACGAGTATCAGCTAAGTGGAAACTGCTCATTTCTCTTTGCTATTTTCAAAGGAAACTTTTATTTCAGCATTTTTATTCTTTTTGGTTTGTTTCTATATGATTTTTAAGTTGGGTTTTAGTTTGTCATTTTTTAGAAATTAGATTGAAGTCTAAATTTACTTTTTTGAGAAGTTGGGTAATTATAGTAATGTCAATGAAGATGTGGCATTCCTAATTTTTCTTACAAGCTATCTTTGGACAATTATGTTAACATGAAACAGGATTTTGAATTTATGTTTTAATTCATTTCAATAATCTCCCTTCTTTGTTTGGGAGATATAAGCTTGAGGTGAATAAGGTTGTTGTTCTATAATGGAATTTATCCTGGAAGGATTTGTAACATTAGCTGCAGAAATTCTAGATTGAGCTCTGGAGCACATGATATGATTACTGTTTGATGCCGGAATGAGGTCATATTGACTCTTGAATTGGCTTTTTTGTGTATCACACAGCATCAATTACATAATGTGCTGCTGCTATCTTATTCACACTTGACTTGGAGAGAGTGATTATCTGCTTTAATTACTTGAGTGGTCTTGTTATAATATACTAACAACACCTGGACTTTCTCCTTTATTTGTTTATTTACAGGTTATAAATTTTGAGATGCCTCAAAGTGTTGCTGGATATGTGCATCGAATTGGACGGACTGGAAGAGCTTTTACTACTGGAGCATCTGTTTCACTTGTAAGTTTTGTTAGGTAGCATCTACCTTGTTTTATAAGAGCATTAAACAGTGACGATTTAGTGATTTCATTGATTGTTTGTGACTACAGTCATATGTTTTAGTTGAATACTGGAAATATGCTTAAGCAACACTTCATGCTTCTTTTTTCTTTCCCTTTTATTGGCTTAGGCATATAAATTCCTAATTTATAGACCCATGATATGATAGGAACATGTACAAAATATATGCAAAACTCACTGGCAACTCCCAGTTGATATCTGGAGGAGTAATTAACCTTATATCATACCAGTTGCAGAGTGGTGACTTGACTCTTAAATCTCTCAATGGTGGTTCACATTTTAAGCTTCTCTATGTTTTGGGAAGATGTTTCAATAGTAGAGCAACCATTTTGCAGCCGACACCTTTTTTTTTTTTTTTTTTAAAAAAAAAAAAATAAAATTGTCCTGTGTAGTTCTAGAAATATGATCCTTGTCAAAAAAAGAAAAAACAAAAAAAAAAAAAAAAAAAAAAATTACACTGAAGATATTGTCAGTTTTGATATGCAACTTGCTGTTCTGAAGTGTGGTGATATGCATGTAATTGGATGGTGCCTATGATGTTTACTCACCCTGGGCAGCTTTTATGGGCTTTAGAACAAAATAATTTACGTGATGGTAAAGAACAACATTACATTGAAATAGTGTCCTTTATGAGCTTCATGCTTATAATTTGTTGATCCTTGTAGATTGGTGAAACAATGCAGATGTAAATTACTGTTTAGTGCCGTGCAGAGCTAAATTTTGCAAGTTCAACCCAATAATGAATTATATTTGGCTTATCATGTGAAATTATTACAACTGCACACACATTAAATCGAATTTTCTTTTTTCTTCCCTATGTTTTGGGAGACCATATGGTTTATTTATAAACAAAAGTTGATTCTTCACAGGTTTATATTTAATGGTATTTACTTACTCATTCGAGTTCTGTTCCATAAATTAAAACTGTTCAATGTCTTATTTTTATTGTAATCTTATGTTTCTCCTATTTTGATAACTTAACGATGAGCAGGCTTGTACTTGCTAAAATTATGAATGCTTTGGGTTGTTGGTTTTCTGATATTTTCATTATATGGTAGGTCTCTCCAGACGAGATGGAAGCTTTTGATGAGCTAAAGGCTACATTAGCAGAGAAAGCAAGTGATGATACCAACTATATTGCTCCATTTCCCCTACTCACAAAGAATGCAGTGGAATCATTGAGATATCGAGCTGAGGTATTTCTTTTGCATCTGTTTGTTACTATATACACTGTATAACTAGTGTCAAATTTGTTTGCTGTGATCGAGAAAGGGGTTTGACTCAAATATTAACAACTATACTTGATATATAAGATTAAAAGGAATGACCTCCACTGTCAAGACTTCTCTTTGCTCTTTAGCCTTGCTCAATTAAAAATTATTTCTATCCTGAGATTGAGCACTGTTCATGATTTTTAATCCTTGTACTTTTTAAAAAGTATATGGTTCAACAAAACTTACTTCCTTTAATGTGACTGGCGTAGATGACGTCCTTCGATTTATGAATTAGATTCAATAATTACTTTGATATAGTAAATTCGAGCCTTCATTCTCATTGTGTTCACTCTTGATTCTTTACTATCTTTAGTGTTTCCTATCCTTTATTGGTCTCGCTTCTCTTTCTTTCAGTCCATTTCCAGTGGTATATGTGGTGGTGTAGAGGGTCATTTTGACAATTTTATCAAAAAAAGGATGGTATACCTTATTACTTTAAAAGTTACTTCCACAAAAGAATAGTGATTCTTTGGTTAGGATGCGAAAAAAACTGCTAGTCTATCTGTGCCAGAAGAATTGCTGACTTTCTTTTGTTTGTATGAGTTATTCTGTTATATTGCTTCTGAAGGGCTTTCTTATGGGAGTGTCTTGTTAGCAATTGGAGTATACAGGTACATGCTCTTGGGTTGACCTGGTAGATGTGATATGCAGACTGGAAACCAATGGAAGTTGGGTGCTGTATTAGGAAGTTAGGAACTGATTTGATCATGTTGGACATCTATTCTTCAAATAATTATGGTTGGCTAGGGGTTGAGAATTTTTTTTATTGTTGGGATGTAGTTTTTGTTAGCACAACTGCGTAAGTTATGTTCTGCATGTTTACAATATTATTGTTTTTGGAAGAGGAATAAACTGAGCTTACTTTTTTCATCTCCAAAAGTCAAAGATGTATTGTTGAAGCATTGGTTTCAATTTATAGGATGTGTTCAGGAGTGTGACTAGTTTTGCTGTACGAGAATCTCGGGCTCAAGATCTAAGGAACGAGATGCTCAACTCTGAAAAGTAAGTTTTGTCTTCTGCAGTATTTGTTACGCTTACTTTTATCTAAAAAGAACTGTTTGTACTTTGTGATTTATGAAACAATTCTATTTCAATGGAAAAGCTTATGTTGTATTGACAGACTTGAAACTGATCTTATTGTTGTCGTGCAATTTTTTTGTTCAGGTTGAAATCCCATTTTGAGGCTAATCCTAGAGATTTAGGTAACTACTTGTCTAGATAATTTGCAATTTCTTCTTAATGTCTGATATATTTGGATTTAAAAGAGAATGTCTTGTTTACGCAGATCTTTTAAAGCACGACAAAGTCCTCAGCAAGAAGGAGCCTCCGGCGCATCTGCGTGATGTTCCTGAATATTTATTGGACCCAACCACACAAGAAGCAAGCAAGATTGTCAAACTTGCTCGAGCAGCAATGGGTAATAGTAGAAAACCTGGACAACAGGGTTTAAAGAAAAAATCAAGGAGGAAGCGAGATCCCCTCAAGACATTATCAGCCGAGGTATTTTCTTTTCATCTTTGGCAAAATCCTTCATGGAGGAAAATGAAGACTTTTTCGAATCAGCTGTTCACTGTTTCCGCTTAAGATGACAATTTTATTGAAGCAATGTAATTTTGATGTTTGCTTATTTATTATAGGGACCAAAGCAACGGAAAAGGGTGAAGAGGAACAATCAGAAATGACCATGAATTTAGTTGAGAAATGGTTCCAATTTTGGCATCATACTAGACGGGTTATACGAATATTGATATGGTAGGGAAATCAGGGTTCTCAACTTGGCGGGAAATACTGCTGAGAAATCTATACTCCAGTTTGAACCTGCTGATGCTTCTCCAAATCTCTAGGCAGAGGAACCAAAAGTCTGCTCATATACTCTGAATTTCAGATTCGTTTTGTTAGTTGTAGAGAAAAAATGTACTCCCTCCATCCGAAAAATATATATCACTATGATATGCAATTCGAAGTTGTATAGTGACAAACTAATTTGGATGGAGGTAATATTTATTCCCAACCTAATGCTGGTGTTTCTCTAGGTTTTTTGAACCCAAACGGGTAATAGATTTATTCACCAAATTATACAAGAAATTATGACTTCACGGTATCTGCTAGCCCCTCTACGTTTCTTTAGGCCTGTATGCATTTGATTTCCTTGAAATATGTAACATATTTGCCCCATGTAATCATTGCGTATACTCCAAAATCCAAATCTAATATAGACTTAATCACTTAATCGCAGCAGCTTGAGTATTGAAGGTAATTTCATGCAGTAGCTTGTGTATCGATTATTGAGGGTAATCAAATATGGTGTAGTCTTTCTTCTCATCATTGTTCTTGTTTTCGCTCTTCTCTTTAAAAACTATACATCTTTGCACATTGGCATTATTTCTTAAGCAATATGTAATTGTGTCACTAATTTCCTTTCCACCAGTAAAATTGATTATCTAGTTATTCGTAAATGATGCTGGTTGCATAATTAGAGATTCCTTAATTATGTACCTTGAATTACATATCATCTACGCAACAATAATTTCCCTGGGAAAAACTGTGGAAATAAAGCGTACACGAAAGTTAGGATAGTATTCATATGATCTTTGCAACAATCATAGTCGGAGCATTTGACTATCATCGCCGTGTGGGGTCGTCGACCAAACAGCAGCAATTATTATCAAAATGGAAGCAATGAAGCACCATATCCTGTTTCTATCTTGCGCCTCGTGGGAAGCGTGGAATACCCTCCTTCTAAGTGTTCTACGGAGTAAGTTCTAACGGCCGCTAGCCTAAATATTTTTGTAGTTGTAAATCTATTACGTAGTATTAAGTAGCTTATAGGCTAGCAACAGTTTACGTGTTCGATCCTAGATGCTACTTTATCAGTTTTTTCATAAATGCATTATCTTGACTTTTGTATTATTTATAAGAAAAATTGCATTAAATAATACGACCTTTGCTCCGTCCGCTAAAAATAAGTTGAACTTTTGTTTATTTCAGAATAATATGACCTTTGGGGGGTGTCCGCTTTAAACAAGTTATTTTACCTACAACCTGAATAACCGGTTAACAATTTTATTTTATTTTTTATAAATTCGTTTAATACTTTAATTATCTCTTAAATAAACATTTAATTATGATTAACAATAAAAATAATTTTTTTTAAAAAAACTAAATATTTAACTATAGTTTGATTTATTTATTATTTTTTTTTTACATTTAAATGATTTTAAAATAATATTTTTTTTTTAAAAAAAACAAAAACTCAGCCCCTTCCCCCACTAGCATCCTCCGACCATCGTCGGCGCCCACTCCTTTGCCCCAACACACGCCGACGCCGACTCTCACTCCCCTGCCCCAACTCATGCCGACGCCCAGCCATCACCCTCGTCGGCTTTCCCCGCCCCTGCTGCGCCGCTCCCCCATCATCTGAACCACCACCTCCCTTCCCCAATTAAAACTCACCTCCCTTCTCCCCGAAAACCCTCGAAACCCCTTTCCCACCCCCGAAAGGGATTTGTTAATCGCCCACAAATTACTACATAAAGCCCACAAAATTCACTTGGTTTGCCAAAATTGCCCTTGACCTTAAAAAAAAACACTCACACTCTCATCACTCACTCACACTCTCATTGCTCATCTTCTTTCAACCTCTCTAAAAAAAAATTTTCAAATAACGGCAATGTCGAGGCGGCAAGGCAAGGAATTGGCGGCGGCGGCGGAGGGAAGGATGTCCCAAGGAGGAAAGGTACATTTTGTTAAAAAAAAAAGGGGAAAAACCGCCGTGATGGCGGTGGGGCGCCCTGGCTGGACGCCCAGCCAGCGGTGGTGGCGCCAGCTGCAGACGCCGCCACCAGTTGGCTGGCGCCTGGGCTGGACGCCATAGCCACGGTTGTGGCGTTTTTTCAAGGCGCCGCAACCGTGGCTGTGGCGTCCAGCCCAGGCGCCAGCCAACTGGTGGCGGCGTCTGCAGCTGGCGCCACCACCGCTGGCTGGGCGTCCAGCCAGGGCGCCCCCCCCCCTTTTTTTTTATATTTTTTTAAAAAACTGTTTTTAATTTTTTTTTTGTGTAATATATTTTTGAATTGTTTTTATATTTTGTTGTTTATTTTTATAAATTTTTTCAATTTCGTTGTATTTTTTCTACGTTTATATTTTGTTTACAATTATTTGTATGTTTTTAGTTTATTTGATTTGCGATGATGATTATTTATCGTATAAATTTTTGTATGTTTATATATTTTAAAATTTTGTGTAGAATTCACTGGGTCGTCATGGTGCGGGGAAGAATATAGAGCTTCTTAGTAGAAGTTATTCAGTGGAGAGGTCGGGGCATAGACATGTCAGATCCCGTGGTATTTTGGCCTCAGCTCGTAGAGAACGGATCCACCGTCGGGATGAGGATGACGATGACGATGATGATGCTGAGGAGGGTGACCAGGAGGAGGAGCAGGAGGAGGGCGCAGATGAGGATGAGGATGTGGACGATGGCAGTGGACCGTATGATGATTACGGTCCATTCAGTCAGAGGGTTGATGACATGTACGAGACGCATATGGTGGAGGTGCGTAAGGGTAGGGGTGGTAGGTTTGTTAGTAGATCTGGCACATCATCTGCGTCTACTGTATCTGGGGCAAGCAGGAAACGGTCGAGGGCCGGTAATGATTCTTGGGTTGTTAGGAGTGAGGTGCCCGGTGGGCCTGTTGACGGGAGTGTGATTCCTAGCTTTCTAGGACACATAGCTGCCCGTATTTGGGAGGACCAGGAGAGGCCTTCAGTTACGGGGTTGTTGAAATGTCATACCCGGGAAAAGACTTGTAGCTTTTTGCGTACATGGGCTGAGGCCTGGCCGGCGGAGAGCGAGATGTTCGAGCGACTGGAGGGCACTGGGGTGAATCACGTTCCTGCCACCATGCACGATAAGATTGACAGTACGCTGATCACGGCTTTCATTGAGCGATGGCAGCCGGATACAAACTCTTTCCACCTTCCGTTCGGTGAGATGACGATCATGTTACATGTTGTCGAGGCCATTCTTGGGATTCGTGTTGAGGGTAAACGACTTTGTGCTGTGGCTGATGCGGATCAGGCAGATTCGCTGGCGGAGTTGTTGGCGGTGGACAGGGCTGCACTGTACACCGAGGCGCTAGGTGTTTGGGAACATGGAGGTGTGAAGATCGCATCCGTGTTGCAGCGGTGTTTGTACCCCAGTGCACGTAGGACGCCCGACGCACAGCTGAGTGCTTATGTTTTTCTACTCCTCGGATGTACCTTGTTTCCGGATAAGAGCGGCGGAAACAAGCTCAGGCCACGCGACAAATCGTAGAGGCGTGTGACCCCGACAGTGTAGGCCAGTTTTCCTGGGGATCGGCTACGTTGGCGTATTTGTATCGCCAAATAGTACACCCACACCGAGCATACACTTCGTCAGCCAAGTCCCTCACCCTGTTCAGTTCAGTGAGAATCAACCCCAAGCAGTAGTGCGACACACGACCATGGAGAATCTTAAATATAAAATGGCTATACATCGTACCATGTCGTCGTCTGGAGTCCTCTAGAGAGTTCCTGATGTCGTTCTTCCGAGTTTCAATTGACTTGTTCAGTCTAGCGAACAGTGTATCCAAAGCAGCGGTCGATGAATCAATCCAGTCCTTGGTAGCTCTATGAGCGCTCTCAACTCTACATGTTGTAGTGTTCCCAAAATGAAGTACCTGGTTTGTCCAATATTTGACAAACTTTTCCCTGTGAGGGACCCATTGATGCATCACATAGTCCACCAGTGCCGAACACCACTGGTACGAATCCCTGAAGTTAGCCAATGCTCGCTCATACGCTTCCTCTGTGGTAGCCTGTAGGATCTTCCGCCACTTACCATTCACCAATCTCTCTGCCATTTCCAAATTCTTCTTGAAAAGGTTGTAGGCTTTCACTTTCACGCAGTTGTTGATGTGCCATGTGCACAATAAGTGGTTCGATTCGGGAAACAGCTCTGCTATGGGGGCAAAGAGACCTCCCTCACAGTCGCTGACGATGGCTGCTGGATGAACATTAGGCCCGATGTAGTTTCTCAGCTTCTCCAACACCCAATAATAACTTGGAACCGTCTCATCCTTGATGATTGCATGACCAATCAGAAAAATCTGGTTCGTTGGAGCCATCCCAGCCATCTCAACCAGTGGGAACTTGTACTTGTTTGTCTTGTACGTTGAGTCGATCAAAATCACAAATGGCCAAGACTTGATCATATCAGCACAATCAGGATGCACAAGGAAAAGATGAGTCACCTCCGCTGTATCTTCATCAGAATCAAACCAGAACAGGTAACCACGTGATTGTGCCTGGTGTAGCAGCTGCTGTATAGGGTTCCTTCCCTCTGACCGTTCAAACCTGAGTTGCCGTCTGACGTTGTAGATGTGTCTTCGGTTTGGATGGTCTTCTGGAAATTTCTCTAACACAGATGCTAATATTTTAGCAGGCTTCACTTGAGCATCACTCATTTCTTTCACAACTAGTTTCGCAGCAGGACTTAAGCCGCTCAGTTGTCGATGACCCTCTTCATACACTATCATCTCATGGTTGTGATACCCCCATTTAGAGTAACCAATCACTTCCCAACCGTCACGACTCCGTAGTTGTCGAACCTTTACTCTGAACTCACACCCACAACCTTTCCGCTTTGTATCAAACTGAGTGGCTGTACGAAAATCATGTCCAAATATCCCACTGTAATCATTTCCGTCTCCACCATATTTCTGCATCAATTATATATTACAATAAATACATTTAACGGATAATACATTTAATTTCTATATTTACACAGAATTAACACAAAAAAAAGCATAATTATATATAATCAAACTTAATTTTTATAAAAACCCAATTCGAATTTTCAAACTAAATTTAAAAATATACCATTTCGAATTATCAAATTTAATTTTAAAAAAACCTATTTCGAATTTTCAAATTTAATTTAAAAAAAACCCATTTCGAATTTTTTTAAAAAATCATTTTCGATTTTTTTTTTTTAAAAAATTAAATAAAAAACAACAACAAAATCAAAAAAGAAAAAAAAAAAATTAATTTATAAGGGTGGCGTCTGCCAGGGCTGCCACAGCCACTGGACTGGCGCCTGGCAGGGCCGCCTCACCCAGTGGAGTGGCGCCTGCCCAGGACGCCAGTCTGGTGGTCTGGGCGTCTGGGCTGGACGCCACTCTGGTGGTTCTGGCGTCTGGCTTGGACGTCCAGGCTACGGTTTGGGCGTCCACCCTAGGCGCCGGAGCCACTCCGACGGTAAACCGTGAATTTTAACGGTGACTTACCTCGTTTTCCGTCGTCGACGACGTACCTCCGGCGTCCCCCGCATCTCTGGCCTGCCCTCCGGTCTCCCCCGGCGAGCCAGTACGGCTCCACATTTTTTACACCGAGATTATTTCAATTTTAGAAAAGGGCATAATGGTCAAACCATATCATATTTGTGGGCTTTATATGGTAATTGCGGGCGATGTTTAGCGTTTCACCCCCGAAATCCCCCAACCGCCCAATACCCCACCGTCAAAAACCCTATTCGGCCTTTACCCCACCTTTGAAACCCTAGCTGCTAATGTATATAACCATGGCCAATCTCGAAGCCCCGAGCTGCCTCAGTCGAAATTCTAAAGTCTGTGGTTTGGGTTCGATTTGGGCGAAGGAGAGGAAGGTTGCGGTGGAAGGAGGAGAAAGAGAGGAGGGTTTGCGGGGAGCGGGGTCGACGCCGGCGCCGGAGGAAGGAGATCTGGGCGTGGCCGGCGTCGGAGGGCAGGGAGGGGGTGCTAGCAGACACCGGGGAAGGGGAAAGGGGTGGCAGCCGGTGGCTGGTGGCGGGTGGGGAAGATGGTGGGGGATTTTTTTTTTTTTTTAAATATAAAATAAAACAAAATAATCTTTTAAAAAAATATAAAACATTAAATAATATTTTGTAAAAAAATTATATTTTCTGACCAATAAAATGATGACACGTGTCCATATAACCTATTAATCAGGTTACCATTCCTTACCAACAAGTAATAACCTGTTTACAGCGGACACCCCACAAAGGTGGTATTATTCTGAGATAATTAAAATGTGGACTTGTTTTCAGCGGACGGGCTAAAGGTTGTATTATTTAATGCAATTTTTCCTTATTTATATTAACCTTGACTATATATAATTATGAATGTTCAAAACTTTTATTTTGATGTAAAATGTAATTGGATTAATGATAATGTAAATTTTCTGTCAACTGTTATAAATTTTAGGAGTGATCCGACTTGAAAATTGATTATCAAATAGAATAGACCATTAATTAATACTCCTTTGGTTTCCAAAAAAAAAAAGGTCCACTGCAAAAAGGAGGAAAGATATGTGGAAATCATGCGAATAGAACGAACGATAAATACCTTTTACGCAGGGGCGGAGCCATGTAGGAACAAGGGGGGACGGTTGTCCCCCCATTTTTCCAAAAAAAAATTTAATTTATGTTAGCTTAAATAAATGCTGTAAATAAGAATAAATACCTTACATGTATACCTTATATAACAAAGACAACATTTGGTCTGGTGGTTGATGGGCTTGAGTAAAGCTTGTATTTCTCTTTGATCCTAGGTTCGATTCCTTACCCGATCATTTTTTTTGTTTCTTTTTGCTATTTTTGGACTTTATTTTTATTTCATTTTATAGTTTATACAAAGTGCTCCTATTTAACTTCTTTTTCTTGTTTTTGGATTTCGCCATTTTTTTTTTTACAGGTTTTTAAATTTCATTATTTTTATATACAAAGTGCTCCTATTTACACATGTCTCCGTATTTTTTTATCTCTCTAATTATGTGTGCCTAAATTTTATTTTTTTTATAGCTTGTTTGGAACTAAGTTTCCAATTTTATTTTTAGTCAAAGAAAGTTTATTTATTTATTATTATTTTTTTTTTTAAAATGTAACCCAAATCCCTTTACATCTACTATCAATTTGTGTAAATGCTTATCATTTGATAAATCATATTTATCGATTATTAAGGATTACATACCTTAAAATTGGGGTTTACCAGCATAAAAAAAAAATTTGGTTAATAAATTTCTTAATATGCAATTAATTTTTTAACAACTCCTCTTTCACCATATAAGAATAATTGTCATATCTCATAAGCGATTTCAAATATATATTAAACAATTTATGTGATCAATTTCTTTTTTCTTATAATTATTGTCGATTATTAAACATCTAAAAATTGTCCCCCCGGATTACAAATCCTGGCTCCGCCACTGCTTTTACGTGTGTGGTTTAGGGATGAAATATTTTATACACATTCGTGTGTACCGTGTGTTTTTGCTCTTCATTTGAGGATTAAATGAAAAACAATTATCAAAATGAAAACAAAATTCTCATAGGTGTATCGTGCATCCGAGTGTATATAACAATCTCTCGTTGTTGAGGAAGCAAGGACGAAAGAGTGTAATTCAAAAGTGAGAAGCATCACCTAAATAACCCGCGAAAGGAAAAACAAACCCATGAGCCATGAGCCATGAGCCATGAGCTCCCTATGGTGTAGAACGCAACACGCAGTCAACATTACAACTACAACCTAACCATAATTATAGAGGAAAATCTAACCTGTACAACCCTTCAACGTCTTCTTCTTCAATTATCTCTATTATTCATCTCCACCACAAATCCAAATCCCTACTTTTCAATCCTTCATCTTTCTCAATTCCTCTCTCCTTTAAATCATCTGCTATAACTACATTCCCATTTTCTGGAGAAAATATAAATAATTGTATTTATAATATCAAGAACAAGGGTAAGAGGAGAGCAATTGAATTCGGAAAATTTGATTTTGTAACAAAAATGGTGGTAATTGATCAGTACATTGTTGGGATTTCCATAGTCTCTCTCCTAGGGTTTGTTCTCTTCTTCTCGCTTTTCCGAGACGTTAAATATAAGAGCAAGAGAAAAGATAGACTGAATTCCGCCGGAATTCACTTGGAATCTGTTCGGAATTCTGATGAAATTAGCTCTGTTTCCGATGGACCTGATGTCATCATCGTTGGCGCTGGCGTTGCTGGTGCTGCTCTTGCTTATACCCTTGCTAAGGTGATGCTTATACTACAATGAATTTCCTTTTTATTTTGTTTTTTATAAAATTTGGAATTATGTTGTTTGAGCAGCGTGGTTGAGTATTAATGGATAAAAATTTCCACTTGTAATCAATCAGAGAAGTTCTGAACTCACATGGGATTTGATTTTTTTTCTTAACTCTTAGTTTCAATTTAATATTATTGTTATTGGTGATTGTGCAATTTCTGGATTTAGCTTCCTTATGTTCAATTGTGTTAATCCATTGGACTGGTCTAGCATATATAATTCCCAATATAATATTATACTAGTCAAATGGGTTGAGTTAGTCGGTTTTGATTCGGGTTATAATTGTTTGAAACAAGTCATCGGGAATCAACGTTCGAGTCAAACCCATTTTTGTTATAAACGAAACTCACAGGTCAAAAATAATAAGAACAATATTATCGGGAGTAAAACTGAATCGCGGATTATGTCGCTCTATGTAGAACATTCACGGTACTGCAAAAAATGTGTGCAAGCAGCTCGTAGGTAACCGGCGGATGTCTCCCAGGATAAAACAGTCTCTCAAAACTATAAAGTACCGATGGATTTGCACTGAACCACCGGGCTAACTAAACACCAAAAACTGAAAACTGCTGAAATTCTGTATATAAGGGGGAAGAAGAGAAGATTAGGAAAAATGAGTTTTCTGTGTTTTGAAACACTTAAGAATGCCGTATTTATAGGCCAACTGATTTGGACGTTTCAAGCAAAAATAACGCATCATTAAATCAGAAAACGGTCAAGCAAAATTAACGCACCATTAACTCAGTAAACGGTACTAATTGAACGGCAGAATTCAAGAGCAAAACGGCTTTAAAACAGTCAAATTTTAATTAGCATAAAATCTGGAACAAAACTGTAATCAACACTGAATAACGGGATTTAAAACAATAAAGGATCAGTCAAAACGGTTAGCAAAAATCAAGGCACTAATTACGTAATGGAGCCTTGTTCAAAAACTGTATAAAAATTTAATTTTGTTTAATAAACCCGACCCGACCCAGCCAGCCCGGCTCGGCTCGGTTCGGTTTGGCGCGCGTGTGTGTTGGGTTGACTTGGTAGGTAAGTCCTCCCTCTCCACAAAATGTGGGTAGCCCTTGGACCACACCCAAGTATACCACATACCAATGTGGGACTTTGTTATTTTCACAAAATTCACACTAAAACATACTTTGTTTCAACAATTTTCAAATGTTTATAAGTAGGAATTTTCAAGTTTCGGGTTTAAAATTTGTGTTCAAGATTTAGCATTTAGGTAAGCCGTAAGCTTGAGTGAGATTACATAAGATTTCACATTGTTCGTGCCTTCATCTCTAGCTCCTAAGAATGGTATGTGGTCCTTGTTACATTGATAGAATCTGAACAATATGAGATAGACTGAGGAAGTAACACTTTTCAATTTTTTAAATGTTTTGCATATTTGGGATTAAAATAGCTCGTTTGTTTAGGTGATGTCAATGTTCTGGACTTCTTTTGCAAATTTTAGTCTAGAACAAACGTTAGATGACATTTGTTGCCTTTGTTACAACTGTAGTTATTATTAATAGGGACTAGAGTGCGCTGTCCTTAACTTATTATCTGAACTTATTGGAACTTATTTTGTTTGCAAAAGCAAAAAATTGTATATTGTATAGAATAGTAGACTTTGAAGCATGTTCTTGCTGTATTTTTTGGTTCTATTACCATCACCAGAGTTGGAAACATTGTGAAAAGCTGTACGTAGTATGCTTTTTGCTTCATTTTACTGGTGAATTATGGTGGATATAATCTATGGACAGATTATGTACCATTATTTGGGAATTCTTATAATCGACCTTTTTCCTATAAAAAATTAAGGTTTGCTACCATTGTAACCTTAGTTACTTATTTAATTAGGTGTTGGAGGCTACTTGACTGGCTTAAGTTCAATAGTTATTGGTTATTAAAGACTTTAGAAGTTGTAGATCACTAGAAAAAATAGTAATTTAGGAGTTTCTAAGTTTTAGTGTGTTGTTGAAAGTGTTTTTGCCTTTGAGCAAGTTTGATGCCCTTAAGCTGACTGAAATTCAAGACAAGGAGAGCTTTGTAGACTTGCTATGATTTTCATTTCTTCAATGTCTGGTTTTATACACGCAAGGGAAGATACTTCATTGTGTGAGATCTAGAATTGTCGTAGGTTGGCCTAAAGACTACATTAAGGTAGTGTAAAGTTGTAAACGCATAAACAGATTGTTTACCTTCTCTGGAAATTAAATTTATTGCACCTATAAGGTTTGGAAATTTTAAGTCATGTTAAAGTTATTGCACCTATAAGGTTTGGAAATTTTAAGTCATGTATTATTGCAGTTTATATATGGGCTAAAGTATCTTGGTTTATGCACTTTACTTTTGTGTTTGTATTGTGCTTATTGACTTATAGATAATTTATTTTGAAGATAGATGACTTTTTTAGGGTTAGGACTTAAAACTGCAAAAATTCTTGGTTCTTGCCTTAGTGCATCTTAAAATTGTAGAAGTAAGAAATCGTCAGTTATTTTCTCCTTTCTTTTAGTGGTTTCCCTATCAAATTTTGTAATCAAAATTTGCTAAATTTGGTGTTTAAATTGGAAAATTTGCTAAATTTGATGTTTAAATTGGAAAAAAGTATATATCGACTGATAACATGAAATAACTTAGAAAACCTTATTGTCAAAAAAACTCAAAATTATAAATTTTTATAGTCAAATGAGACTATCTGTGTAAAACGAAAGGATTACTTGTTATCTTTTCTCCTCCTCAGATCTAGACTTTTGCATTGATTGCAGGATGGTCGGCGTGTTCATGTGATTGAGAGAGACTTAAGTGAACCTGACAGAATAGTTGGGGAGCTTCTACAGCCAGGAGGATACTTGAAATTGATTGAATTGGGCATTGAGGGTATGCACTGAATCTCATTGTGTTTTAATAATAGAGTCCTGCATTAAAGTTTTCCAGAGTATTTACCTTCAATTGTTTTCAGCAAGTGTTTTGTGTATTTATTCATCTCAATCTGAGTTTCAGACTGCGTCGGGAATATTGATGCACAGAGAGTGGTTGGATATGGTCTTTTTAAAGAAGGGAAGAACATAAGACTGTCTTATCCCTTGGAACAGTTCCATTCAGATGTGTCTGGAAGGAGCTTTCACAATGGACGTTTCATACAGAGGATGAGAGACAAGGCTGCTTCTCTTCCCAAGTACTTTTGTTTTCTCTTCTCTGTGTTTACTTTGTTTCGTTGAACAAAAGGTTAGCGATTGCATTATCTTTTGTACTAATTACTGAATCTCCACATTTCCTTATATTTTGTTCCAGTGTGCGGTTGGAACAGGGAACAGTTACATCATTGCTTGAGGAAAAGGGAATAGTCAAGGGGGTTCACTACAAGACCAAGAATGGTGAGGAGTTCAAGGTCTATGCACCTCTCACAGTCGTCTGTGATGGTTGCTTCTCGAATCTGAGACGTTCTCTTTGTTCACCAAAGGTGATAGTTTCTTCTTAAAGTGTTAACTATGGTCTTTAAACTTGAGGATTTAATTCAAATTTACCGAACAAATTATATTTAGTGTTTGCTTTTCCCTGTTACATGCTTCTCTTGCTTACTGTGTTGTCTCATTTCATAGGTTGAAGTGCCCTCACACTTTGTGGGGTTGGTGCTGGAGAACTGCCAATTGCCTTACGCGAATCATGGACATGTTATTTTAGCGGATCCCTCACCTGTTTTGTTTTACCCTATTAGTAGTACAGAAGTCCGTTGCTTGGTTGATGTACCAGCAGGGGACAAGTTGCCTTCTATTGCTAATGGTGAAATGGCTAAGTATCTGAAGACAGTGGTGGCGCCTCAGGTGTGGTGGATATATATATGCTATCTTGTTACTTCCTGGTTCTTTTCATTTGGTAATTTTATCCTTTTGGCTTTATGATTCCAACAAGTCATGTTACTGCTTCAGGTTCCTGCTGAAATTAGAGATTCATTTGTAGCAGCAGTTGACAAGGGCAATATAAGAACAATGCCTAATAGAAGCATGCCTGCTACTCCTCAGCCTACTCCTGGAGCCTTACTAATAGGCGATGCTTTCAACATGCGACATCCTTTAACTGGAGGTGGGATGACAGTGGCATTGTCTGATATTGTTGTACTCCGAGACCTTCTGAGGCCTTTGAAGGACCTAAATGATGCAGATTCGTTGTGCCATTATCTGGAGTCTTTTTACACCTTGCGTAAGGTATATGCATGCATCATGTAAACATGACAACAGTTACATGCACGCACACGCAATTACATGATATACTCAAATTGAAAATGTGTGTATGCGTGTGTTTAAACTGGATTAATATAATTAAACTTGATATATTAATAAGTAATATATATCAACCTTTCTTGCAGCCTGTGGCATCGACAATCAACACTTTGGCAGGTGCCCTTTATAAGGTGTTTTGTGCTTCACCTGACGAAGCTCACAAGGAAATGCGTGAGGCTTGCTTTGACTATTTAAGCCTTGGAGGAGTGTTCTCAAATGGCCCAATTGCTTTACTCTCTGGTCTAAATCCTCGGCCATTGAGCTTAGTAGCTCACTTCTTTGCTGTGGCTATATATGGTGTTGGTCGCCTGTTGATTCCTTTTCCTTCAATAAAGGGACTTTGGCTTGGCATAAGATTGCTATCGGTACATCTCTTCTCCAAATGTAGTCTGATTTTAGTCTCATGTTACACGTGTTTTTGTATCAAATTGCAGCTGGGTTTATGCTCTATTTGGCGAACCTAGTCAATAAGTATCTTCAAAGTTTAAAGTAAAAAGGGGGTTATTACTAGTTGAAGTTAAAATCTGTTAAATTAGCAATTGTTTTGGTAAAACTAGCTGTTGAACTAGATGAAAATTGCAAACCAAAATTAAAGGTCATTATCTTTATGTCGGCATCAGATTCAAGTAGGTGCTTATGGACAAAGACATGATTAGAAATTAAAAAATATGTTGACCAGTAAGAGGAGCGCTTCCATTCCAGACCAGTAGCACCTAAACAATTTCCTTTAAATACTAGTAGCCAAATTTAAATACTCTGATCCGTAGCTGTTTGTTTTACCTTAGCTTAGCTGGAATGACTGCCAAAGACTTCAATTCCAGTCCCTTGTGAGAACCTTCATAGTTGTGGCTACCTTTTTGTTTCCCTCCCTTCTGCTAGCTATGGTCAATGAAGAATACTACGAATTTCCATTGCCAAGCTGATTGACAAAACCGTTAATCTCTGTTGCAGGGTGCAGCCGGGATCATCTTTCCTATAATGAAGGCAGAGGGACTGAGGCAAATGTTTTTCCCTGCAACTGTTCCAGCATATCATAGGCGTATGCATGTAAAGTGATGTTTCCAAAACAGTAAAGAAGATAGTTCACGCATCCAGAATTGCTTGCTATGGTGCTGAATATTGTCTCTATGAAAGTTAATCAGGCTTGTTCTTTATAAGCTGCTATTGAAACCAAACAGGAGATAATTGTATTGAGATACCACTCCTATTTATTGAACTTCATTCATGATTATCAAGACTGTCATGAACTGTTTTATATGTAAATTTTTTATATTGTGAATGTTATACTTTCTACGTTTTTATTTTATTTATTTATTTTTGGATCCAATAGTATGATTTAAACTTTCAAAGTATATCATATAATTCGTACAGTCGTACTAGTATAGTAGTATACTAGTAATTCTACTGACTGGGTTCTTAGTCTATATTTTGTCAACCAACAATATTAAAAATTGTTGCAAGTTGTGAAAAGATGATATCATTAATTAACAAAGTAATGTGTTTTTTAAATTGTTGTTTTTCCTTAAAATACTGCATTCCCATAAAAACAACAAACAAGGATTAAAGTCGGACAAAGATGCTGAATATAATAAGGGAATAGAGCTTGGTAAGTGTATCTATGCAGTAAGGGTGTAAGGCAGTAGCAAGTGATATCAATGGATACGGAGCTAAAGGAGGCGGCATTCTCAGGAGATGTAGGATTTTTGAAACGAGCTGTTGACTCGAAATCAACAGGTTACTTTCTTTCTGAATACACCCCATCAGATAATAATTATGTTGGAGGCAATATCTTTCACCTTGCTGCGTTTACAAAAAAGGCGGAGTTTTTCAGGGAAGCAATGGAAAGATTACCAACGGAGGTTCAACAAGTACTCTTCACCCAATCCAACTTTAACGGTTGGAATCCTCTTCTTGTTGCAACCTGGGTGGATGATCTTGAAATTGTCCGACTCATCCTTGGCTTCTACAAATCAAATTCTGGTCTAGAGACCAAGCCACCTAGCAATAGTGATAATAATGATCAGCATCTTAGCAAACCGTGGTTAGGACTTTCCAAGTCGAAAAAGACCCCTTTGCATGTTGCCATTGGAATCAAGCCTAACGAGGAAAGTGCAATGGAGATATTGTCAATGGATACAGAATTGCTTTGTGCCATGGTAGATGATGAGGGGAACAGCCCACTTTTCCTAGCTGTCCAAAGAGGGCTGAACTCAGTTGCTGAGAAGATCTTGATATCCTCCTCTTATAGTGTTAGCGGCCAAGATGGTTCCACTCCTCTTCATTTTGCACCTAAGTGTTCAGGTTTGTCATCCATATGCATCCTACTTCTAGATTAGTACATTAGAGATTAATGGATTAATACCTTAATCTAGTACTTGATCTGTTTGACTTAGCTAGCTCTATTAAATTTATATGTATAGAAAATTATTACTTCTATCTGATGGGAGACTTTGTGAATGACAGAAAATGTTTTGAGATTGCTGCTGGAGAAGAATCTGGATCATTTTGACGCAGTTGATAACAAAGGATTCAATGTGCTTCACCAATGGGCAGAAACAGCAGAAGTTTGGCCTTTTAACTTGATCTTAGAGGGTGATTTTCCTGCTGTAAGAACCAAAGTCTTCACGGATTTAATGTACAGCATAACAGATAATAAAGACGGTGACAGTCCACTGCATATTGCAGCAAAGTCTAAAAATGCCGATATTGGACAAGTGCTTGTACGTGGTTACCTGCAGGAAGTAGGAGCAAGCGAGCCATCTGAGTTGCCTGATTGCCCTCCTTGGAAAACAAAGAATAAAAATGGGGATACGCCTTTGCACATTGCTTTATCTTCAAAACATACTGAACAAATTGCGTTGCATTTTTTATCACTGGATTCAACATTATGTGAGATTCTTAACAAGGGTGAAAGCCCCCTCCTCCTTGCTGTTGCTTCAGGATATATGAACAAGTTATAGAAGAGATTTTGAGTGCTCAGGATCCACGTTTCAGCATGCTGCGTCGCAATGATGGAGTTACGTGCTTCACTTGCTACGATTCTGTTCAGGTAATATATAATTGAACTACTGATATAAGTATTCTTGTACATGCATTTGTTGAAGAAATTGTTAGTTGTTCTACTTTGAATAAACTGCCGAAGTAGATGTTCAGTGTACATAGGTATTTGCGAATTCTAGCTTTGACAATTCTCTAATAGCTTACTTGATTGAATTGTGAACACAGAGAAAACTGGAAGATGGTTGCTTGGAAAATTTTGGTGGATCAACTCGCCTGATGATAAGGGAAGAACTGCCCTTGCCGAAGCCAAAGAAGCTCATGTCCCGTGGCTTGTAGATTTGTTGTTGAACCCTTCTTCGATCCAAAAGGAACCATTTGATTGGATTACAGCATGCGAGAGAGACGAGACATCAGCTGTAATTGCCTTCATTGACAATTGTCATGATCTTCAAAAGGTTTTCCGTGAACAAAATGACACTCCTTTGCACCACATAAAATTGCCAACTTACAAAGATTACATGAACTTCTTGAAGAATCCATCAATTGCAGAAATTAAGAATACAACAGATCATGGGGGTGCAACGCCTTTGCATCGAGCACTAGAAAGGAAAGACATACTTCTGGCTAAGACACTGCTCAATGATAATGGGGTAGAGCGTAACATAGAGGATTATCATGATACAACTGCCATGGATTTGCTTGCCAAGCTTTGCAAAGAAAATGAAGATTGGGTATGTATCTTGTATCTACAAACTAAATTTAACTTTCCTATTGATGGAGCTAAAACAGTATGAAACATGATTACTTGCAGGCTAGGATGTGCAAACAGATCAAAGTAAATCCATACTTGAAAACAACATATATTCAACCTGGGACGAATCTGGATCAAATGCGAAACACTCTGTCTGTAGTTGCAGCTCTGTTGGCAACAATCACATTTGCAGCTGGATTTACACTCCCTGGTGGCCTTAATAATGCAAATGGAGATGCCATTTTAGCAAAGAAAGCTTCATTTTTAGTATTTTTACTAGCAGATGCATATGCCATGTGTGCATCCATGCTGGTCTTGTTCTGCTTGATATGGTCTATGGTTTCTGAACGTGATATGTCATATTTATTGGTTGATCGCAGTGTGGTTATACTCATGCAAGCCCTATATGGCACGATGGTGGCATTTATGACTGGTATCTATTCTGCCATAGCTCGTAGCTCTTTGTGGGCAGCCATAATTATCTTCGTCATGTGTTCTTTCATTGGAATATCAGCGAATAGAACTGTTTTGCATAATGTACTTGCCAAGCTAATTCCTGCGGCAAATCATGATTGGAAATATCGGATCCGGTTGCTTGAAGAGGTAAGTATGTACTAGAGTCATATTCATATTTTATTGGTCGTTTGTCCAGTGGCAATGAATTTCAGTAGGGTTATTTATGAGTTATTTTCTAGCTAATGTCTATAGTAATGAAATTTTACTCCCAAACATATGTTTATTTCATAATAGTAACACACTCAATACCGTCTAACTCTAAAATGGTAGTGTATGGTAATATCATGAAGAAATATACTTTGCAGACATTTTAGGGTAAAAATGGCTGATCTGGGCTAAATCATGGCTTCAAAATGTAACTGTAGCTAATTTTTTCAGAATTAGGTTCTTGGTCATATTCAATGCCCGTTTACAAGACCTCTTAATTTTTCTACATATTCTAAGAATGGAGGGGACATAAACAACCAATTTAATACTTTCGATTTCTACAGCTCACATATCATTAACAACTCTGTATGATAAACAAACATAGAATAATCACAATATTACTTGTTGGTGCTCTTCGAATCAACCTGATAGGTTTGCATTGAATTCTGTCCCAGGGGAAAGCATCTGTTGCTGCCCTTGCTGGAAACGATGTCTCACAAAAAACCAAGTAGCAGATTAAGAATTTATAAGGGAGAAATCTGCTTTGGGGTTTCGGATCATGTAGCAGTGTGATGCAGAATCCAGCCAAGCAACTTGAAGCCTCTTCTTTGATTCTGTGTTTTATACATAAATGTTTATAATTATGCATTAGCAGTTGAATTATTCAATTGATAACATATTATTGCTATGGTGCTACACTCACTTAGAGATGAATGTTTCAAGCCCTCATCAAGTTTGATTGTCCAAGGCCTTCCTCTTTCCTCTCGAATTTTCTGTATTAAGAGCTCTGATTTTTTTGTTCACTATCTACTGAAACCACCACAAACCAAATATCAGAACATTCGAGTCAATATTCTGCAGCTGGAGCTGGCGCTAATGAAGTTGTGTTAAAGAAGATGGTGTAATTACATGTACTTCACTTCATATGAAGGGTGACTTAGGGCTTTTCTAAAGCAAAGCTCAACAACAGTATCTTTTTGTCAAATTGATTTTCGACATTACTATGGCTTGATCCAACTGCACCCAGGTTGCTTTATAACTCGAACTGTTTTCATCAATTCCCTAACTTGAGCTGCATCTTCCCATTGTCCAGCATTTGCATGAATATTTGACAGCAATACATAAACTGCTGGGTCGTTTTTCTCAGTTTGAAGAAGCAACCCAGCAATAATCCTTCCCAGCCTTACATTTCCATAGACTGCACATGCACTAAACAGAGTCCACCAAATATTGGGATTAGCCTTGTAATCCTCACTCTCAATTAGTCTCTCCATCTCATCAATGTATCCAGCTCGCCCTAAAAGGTCTACAAGGCAAGAAAAGTGATCTACTCCAGGTTCCAACCCATAATCATTGATCATTGCATTAAATATGCGAATGCCATCGCAAATTAGACCAGTACGGCAGCAAGCTGATAAAATAGCAGTAAAAGTGGCTTGGCCAGGTTTAAGCCCAATCTCATTATGCATCAATGTGAAGTACCTGACAGCTTGTTTCCCTTCTCCATATTGTGCTAATGCAGAGATGATGGCATTCCAACTCACAACGTTCTTTGTGCTCATGGATTTAAATACCTTAACAGACCAATCCAGAAGCCCACATTTTGCATACATGGTGATGAGGCCATTTCCCAAGGCAATTTCATTTAGAAATAAACGTCTTAGGATGTAGCAATGGACCTGCATTCCATGACTTAAGGCTGAAACACTGGAACAGATGCTTAACACAATAGTTAGAGTGTATACATCTGGTCTCATTTTTGACTTCTGCAGCTGAAGAAACAATTCAAGAGCCTGCACAGGGTAACCATTTAACAAGGACCCCGAAATAATTGCATTCCAGGTAATCAGATTCTTAGAGTGCATGCTGCAGAATATTTGACAGGCCAGATCAATGTCACCTTGCTTAGAGCATGCAGACACCAAAGCATTAATAACTTCACTCATTAGACTGAGCCCATTTTTCAGCACTAGGGCATAGATCATCTGGACAATTTCTAAGCTACATGAGCTAGCTAAGAGGGCTCCAATTGTATACTCGTCTGGAACAAACCCAATCCTCTGCATCTCCATGTAAGCTAAGATTGCTAATTGAATATCATTTTTATGAGCATATCCGGCTATCATAGTGTTCCATGAAACAACATCCTTCACTTCCAATTTCTCAAATAATTTTCTGACAGAATCTAATAGCCCATGCTCAGCATACATGGCCATGGCAGCATTGCTCACAGCTGTGCAAGGTTCATAACCTGCCTTTACAGCCTGAGCGTGTAACTGGAGGCACATGTCGAGAACCAAACCCGAGTTCATAAGGCTCACAAAAGTTAACTCAGTAGGGCTTAACCGAGACTTTAACATATCTTGAAATATTACCAAAGCCTCTTCTTTCCTCTCAAGACTTGCTAAGCCATTGATCATTGCATTATAGGTAATCACATCGCGCACCATTCCATCTGCATCTTCAAAAACTTTACGAGCATCAATGGAATTTCCAGAGTTAAAATACATTGTAAGCAAAGAATTAACCACCGAGCTCCAACCCAAAAACCCACTCTTAAACACCAACGAATGCACTTGCTTCCCAAAGCCATGTAATTCAACAACAGAACACAAGCTAAGAACGCAGGCAAAAGTGTAATTGTCAAGCCTCACACCCAACATATGCATTCTCCCAAACAATTCAAATGCAATATCATCATACCCAATTTCAGAACAACCAGTAATTACAGCATTCCAAGGGGCAACACTTCTCACAGGCATTTTATCAAGCAGTTGGCAGGCATAATCAACCTGACCCAGCTTAGTACATGCTGATAACAAAGTAGTCCAAGAATAATTATCAGGGGTACCCAATTCAGAAAAGACAGTTTTAACAGAACCCAAGTCCTCAGTTTTGGCATAGAGTGAAAGGAGTGTGTTTGAGACATGGGGGAAACCTTTAAGTCCAGTGAAAATGGCATGAGCGTGAAGCTGGTTTCCAAATCTGGAGTTGGGTATCTTGGCAGAGGCAGTAAGAGCAGAAGAGAAAGAATAATGATCTGGGTTCAAGCCATCAGATGAATGGATTTGCAGGAAAAGAGAGAGACAATCATGGTGACGATTTGAGCGTGTAAGTTTTGACAATTGGGAGTTGAGTTTTATGAGTTGTTTTGCGGCGTCCTGTGCTACAAGTTTGGCTCTTTGGGTGTGGCATACCAAATTCATCAGCTTGTTGCATCAGAGTCGAGCTAATTGCCAATTACTAGTAGTAACGATAGGCCACTGCCCCAATCCCCAAATATACTCAACATCAATGCTAAATTGCTAATCAAAGTTATCTAACACATCTCGACCTACCCTGCAAAATTGGCGGGTTTGGGTAGTAATTTTGGGCTGAGAATTCTATTCAGTTCAACTTAAGATCAGATAAAAATTTCAGGCATTGGACATCAATTTTAGGCATATATAGTTTAAAGTCCGCTTCTTCAGCTCAATTTTAAGCGGATTTCAGGCATAGCTCACCATTACTCGAAATGGGATTACTTTATTTTTAGCCAAAACGTGAACCAACCCATGATCAACTCTATTTTAAATAAAATCAGCAATCTTAACATGAAATGACTAGTCTTTAAAATAAAAATTAACATAATATGATCAGTTGATCACTCAAAGAGAAACTCGGACTTAACATGATACGAGCACAAATCAAACTTAAATTGAAGCAAGTCGAATGATATGCCTTTTTTGACGTTGTTTCATAGTCTCACACTCAGTACCAAATCAAACTCGTGCGTTGTTGAGGCATTGAGGAGCTCCAGTGGCTTGCCGATCATATTAAATGGGTTCAGGAGCTTACTTCTAAGCCCTCTTTGAGATGCTCTTTATTTGGTAGCTTATGGAATTAATACAAACAGAGCAGTTAATCCTGAAAATTTTCAATACCTAAACCTTTACGTCTCTTTTTGTGAACGTATGCATTTAAATACGCATGCTCCTCCTATATTCTTCAGCTTCTCCATCTCAATTCTCATACTTGGTTGTATTAGGCTTCGTGTGGCCTGCATTTCATTTTCTATGTATGAGAAATAATCCTTTCTTGCCTTTTCCACTATTGTGTTCTTTTTTTCTGAAGTCCTGTATGCATTTTGAGTGTCAAACTTCTTGTTTATGTGATAAATTGTTCTAGTCTGTTTCCAGGCTGCTGCTGCTACTCTCATCACTATCTGTCAGCAGATTGGTCCAGATTTAACTGCTTTGCATATCATACCTCAGCTGAAAGAGCTGTTTGATGAGCTTGCTTTTTCTCGTGAATCATCTAGTTCACCCCCCTCTCTGGGAAAAAGCTATAAGATCTCCAAACACAGCTCAGGCAAGGAGGCACAAATTGAAAGCCACATGGATATAGCGTGGGTGTCAAGCACTTCTCCATTAAACACTAGTGCTATTTTTAGATATTGAAATTGTGGTCTGCTTATTGTTGTTTTAAGATTTACTTGGATGTATGTGTTAATACTGATATGATACTAAAGTTAATATAACAATGAACTTATCTCTTGGAGCGTGAACCAACAAACAGTAGCCGTGTCGTGGTGACCCACTGACCTAAAAGACGATTCCGCGCTACCTCCCGGTACAATAGACAATAAGCGGTCGCCCTCCAGGATTGACCCACTGACCTAAAAAACGATTCCGCGCTACCTCCCGGTACAGTAGACAATAAGCGGTTGTCCTCCAAGATAAGCACGGCGCCGGAGTTTATGTGCACTCACAAACCCGACTGGAACTCTATCAACCTAAATAAAATTTCTCCAAAAATTTAAGAAGGACCCACGCCCGCGCATCGCATTCCCCGAGGCCCGAGATTGACCCGCCTCAGTGCACGTGCGTGTGGCACAACACCCACCTCCAAGTCACTCAACTAAGAAGTACTAATATAGCACTATATATAAATAAGGAGAAAACTTTTCCTTCTACCCATGTGGGATTTTTCCCTTTAAATTGTGACTCTTACTCTTTCTTCTTTTCTTTCTTTCACTCAACACTCTTTGTTTTTATATCAAGAACTTCCAACAGTATGCAGGTTGCTTTTACTCTTCTTGGCATAGAGAGATTGCGGCAGTGTTGTGCTACGTGGCTTCTGCTTGAAAAATATCTCCTTAAGCACTATAACTGGAAGGTGGGGTTATTTTTTCCTTGTATGTTTGTATTTCCTTTGTCAAGTTGATACTGATTTCATGGTATACTTACATTTCGTTTTTCTAAATTCATTATGATCTAGTGGGAATTTACAGGAGATTCATCTAGGAGCAGTTCAGGAAACTGTGATTCTAGAAAGGCCTTGATCAAAGAAAGCGTTAAGTCTAAGTACAATCCAACCAAACTGCTAATGAACGGAGTTGGATGGGCAGTACCGCAATCTCAGGGAAGTAAAGGAAGCAATGATATGGTACTTCATAAACGCTTTTACGAAACTCATCAAAACTCAGCCAAAATTAACTCAGAAACATTTAAAGTTGGCAAATGTGAACCATGGTTCTGGTTCCCTACTCCTGCTACTACTTGGGAAGGGCCAGATTTTCATGCCCGCGCTGGCACTTCAAAAGATGAAAGTCCATGGAAGATTAAGGCATCAGTAATACACTCTGTCCGTGCTCATCATGGAGCACTGGGGTCTTTGGCTGTGGATCAAGATGAGTGTATTGTATTTACTGCAGGAGTTGGTCCTGGTTTTAAGGTGGGACTTGTCAACTGTTGATTGCGTGTCTGGTTACTATGGGCATGAAGAGGTTTGCTTCCTATTAAACTTTTGCATCATTGGTGGTTTTCCCGTTTTTTTCACTGTTCTTTTCAACAGCTCATTGGTAAAAAGAGATGCCCATCTTGATAACTTGAGAAGGATATATGACAGATTCAAACAATGATGTTGATGTAGAATTCATAGGTCTAGAATAACACATTCTGTGAAGTTCATATTTGGTGTTCTCTGGTCAGTGGACAACTTGAGTATCAAATTTTGTCCATTGTCCTAGATTTATTTGATTAATCAAAATGAAAGAACTGATAACCGGGAAAATGCGGCTTGATTTTTTATGGTATATACGTTCCCTTGCTCACAATGAGAGCTTACTTTCAAATGATTTACATTAGACATGAACATCCTGGACAGACTTATCAGTTGTACGGAGTAGTTTAAGCTGTTTGACTGAATAAGAAACAAGCAAGGATTTGATCAAATCTCAAGCTATTTGGCTGACGAAGTACCTGTAAATAAGAATGAGCATGGTCGTCTATACTTGTAAAATAGAATTAAGCACAGTATTTTTGCTATATTGCACAGCTGGACTCGTGGATTTATCAAGGTAAATTTATAAGCATCAATAACTGCAAGAGCTTAATCATAAATTGCAATTTTAAAATGTTCTTATAAAACATCCGTAAGATCTATTTCAAGCTAGGAATCTTTCGGTTTGCCTTATGAGGAAGCAGTGAAAACTGGAATAATATCAGCACTTTTTCTTAGGATGTCATCCAAGACAGTTATTGACTTATTGTTGTTTAATATGTTTTTACTGTATTTTTTTTCTTTAATCATATAGACTTTCCTGCTCTATCTTTAATGTATACACTGTATGTGACTTTTCACTGAAGCCTGATGAACTTGGATGTCTGATTGATATTTTCTACTTCCAGGTGGTGAATGACATATGTATCCTTCCTTACAGTGGGAGGGTGACGTCTTGTGATGGGACCATACATGTTTGGAATAGCCAAACTGGAAAAGCAATAACAATAATTTCCAGAATAAGTATACTATTCGTATTACTTTGAAAATTATAGGAGGATGAGATTGGCTCGTTTCAGATTATTAGGTTGACTCGTTTTGAGTAGGTTAGAGGGTATTCTTTTTTTTTTCTTTTTTGATGATTATTCTTTTCAATTTATTTTAAAAAAGAAAAAAAAAAAAAAAAAAAAAAAAAAACATCGTTTAATCGCCCCCTCCTCACTCCTCAGTCTTCACCCTCCAACTTCAATCACCTCATTCTGTTTGGTTTCATGGTGCTCCGTGTTCTTGTGAAGTCGTGAAGAAAAGCAGTATCCTTAAAACCCTTATCAACAGAAAAACTGTCAACGACAGAAAAATCAGAAATTTCAACTAATTATCTCAGCTTTCGTGATCCTAACCTATAGAGAGATTTGAAAGGGAAGATCATAACAATTTGTAATAGCTTTGCTGAAGCCATAAATCTCCTGAACAGGTAAAAATGTCATCTTTTTTGTGTTAATTGCATCTCAAACTCCATTAATTCTACTCTAGGATTTCAATTAAGATTTCTTTTTTGAATTTATTGATATCAACCTACATTGGTAAATTGAAAGAGAGAGAAAATGCGTAGATTATCATTGTATTTCTGCAAGAACAGTCATCCTGCTCTGTTGTTACCCTCTGAATCCTATGCTGGATTAACATTTGTTGCCAATTTCTCCAACATTTCTTCCCCTTCTAAAAAATTCCCAGTTCCTCAAAATCAACTACCCCAATTCAATCCTGGTTTTGTGAACCCGAAAAATGGGTTTGGATTGGTTCATTTGGATAGTGATTCACAAAACAGTGTTGCCCATGATCGTAAATTTGATGAATTTGAGGCTGATGTTGAAAAAATTTATCGAATTTTGAGGAAGTTCCACTCTAGGGTTCCAAAATTGGAGCTTGCTTTACAAGAATCTGGTATAATTATGCGTCTTGGGTTAACGGAACGGGTATTAAACCGATGTGGGGATGCGGGGAATTTAGCTTATCAGTTTTTCATATGGGCATCGAAGCAGCCTGGTTACAGGCATAGCTATGATGTCTATAAGGCCATGGTTAGGACTTTAGCCAAAATGAGGCAATTCGGAACGGTTTGGGCAATAATAGAAGAAATGAGGAGAGAGAGTCCGCGGTTAATTACCCCGGATGTGTTTGTTGTGTTGATGAGAAGGTTTGCTTCTGCAAGGATGGTTAAGAAGGCAGTTGAAGTGTTAGATGAAATGCCTAAATACGGGTGTGAACCTGACGAGTATGTCTTTGGGTGTTTGTTGGATGCGTTGGCTAAGAATGGTAGTGTCAAGGAGGCAGCCTCACTTTTTGAGGATATGAGGATGAGGTTTACACCAAGCCTCAAGCATTTTACTTCCTTGCTGTATGGATGGTGTAAAGAAGGGAAACTGTTGGAAGCAAAGCATGTCTTGGTCCAAATGAGGGAGGCTGGGTTTGAACCAGATATAGTAGTCTACAATAATTTGCTTAACGGGTATGCAGTGGCTGGGAAGATGGCTGATGCGTATGATCTTTTAAAAGAAATGAGGAGGAAGGGTTGTGAGCCAAATGCAGCATCTTACACAGTATTGATCCAGGCGCTTTGTTCCATGGAGAAAACCGAGGAAGCAATGCGAGTCTTTTATGACATGGAGAAAAGTGATTGTGATGCGGATATCATAACCTATAATGCCTTGATTAGTGGACTATGCAAGTGCAGAAAAATTGATAAAGCCTATGAGCTTCTAGATACTATGCTTCAGCGAGGCCACACCCCTGATCAAACTACTTATCTGCATATACTTTTGGCTCATGAGAAGAAGCAGCAATTTGAAGAGTGTAAGGAGCTTGTTGATGAGATGCAAAAGATCGGTTGCTTTCCAGATACTAAAATATACAATACCTTGATCCGTTTGGCATACAAGTTGGGGGAGGTAAAAGAAGGTATTGAACTTTGGAATGAGATGGAGGCAAGTAGACTAAGTCCTGGGATAGAAAGCTTCACTATAATGATTCACGGTCTTGTTGAGCAGGATTGTCTAGTCGAAGCTTGTGACTATTTCAAGGAAATGATTAACAGAGGGCTTTTATCTGCTCCCCAGTATGGTACTTTTAAGGACCTACTGAACTCCCTTTTACGAGCTAAAAAGCTTGAATTAGCTAAAGATGTGTGGGATTGTATCATCGTAAAAGGATGTGAGTTGAATGTTTATGCATGGACAATCTGGATCCATGCACTCTTCTCAAAGGGGCATGTGAAAGAGGCATGTTCTTATTGCCTGGAAATGATGAATGCAGATGTGATGCCAGAGCCCAGCACTTTTGCAAAATTAATGAAGGGCCTGAAAAAACTGTATAACAGACAAATCGCTGCAGAAATAACAGAAGAAGTGAGGAAGATGGCAGCCGATAGACAGATTACCTTCAAAATGTACAAAAGAAGGGGAGAGAGGGATTTGAAGGAGAAAGATAAAGCGAAAACTGATGGAAGAAAGAGGAGGGCTCGTCGACGTCAGTGGGGCCAAGGTCGTAGTAAAGCTGACATTGTTATTTGATGAATGGTGTGTGAGCTTCAAAAGCTAAACTTAGATGGAGTTTTGTTTGTAAATTGGAAACATGAGCCCATATCAGGTACATTTTCTTGCCAACCACAACTCATCAACTTCTGTTATGCCTTGTTTACTTTTTCAATCATGGTTAGATTCACCTTTACGTAATTTTCAGAAACTTTAAAGAAAATGCCTTCTATTCTGTTATTTTGTAACCCAACGTTTTTCAATTTTTGTTGTCATACTGCAAGTCATTGATATCTTTCAGAAAATTTCTCAGATAGGAAAGCTGATATCTTTTACTCCTTAGTTTGTTAGACATTCTCTGGATTGCATACTTTGGTTCTGTGTGAAGCTTAGTTCTACCAACTACTTATCCCAAGACAATTTGAGTATTAGACCCATATGATCTTGATTGTGCATATGTTCTACATTTCCATGGATAATTGGACACAATACTCAAGGGAACTGCATTCTGTACTAGTTGTGCCTTGAGGCTAGAGCAGTTTTTTGGGGGAGCAGGATGCTCTATAGGACTATTTTAGAGTAAAGCAACTTGAATAAGGAAAGAGGGAGGACAGGATGTCAAGGAATTTCTATTTTGAATAAAAATAGGTTTTTTCCAACAGACATGGTACTCACTGTATTAGAAATAATTTCTGGTTTTCTAGGTTTTTATTCGCTGGGCAATATTGGAGGTTTGACATTGCTTGGCTTGAGCAAGGGAGGGATTTCTCAGAGTTCTTTACCTGTATAGAAGGTGCTCTATATTGCAGATCTGTATGGCTGTATTGCTTGTATGCATGTTTGGAGTTCTAAATGTCTACTGTCCTGTTGAGGCAATAAGCTGCACTTCTTGTTAATTGTCATAATCTGATCAGAGCTGATTTTTTTTTTGTGTTTGGGGGGGGGGGGGGGGGGGGGGGGGGGAGATTGTGCCGATCTAGATAACATAGGTAAGCAAAGCTCTCAAAGTTGAACCATGTTTCTATTTCTTCCATGGCAACAGCAGCTCAACCTTATTTTATTTTGATCCCTTGTAAATGTAATGCTTGTTTTGTTTCTTATTCCCGTTCCTAGTGTTCTGGTAACTTAAGCTTTTGTGTGTGTGAATTCTGTGAAGTGCCTTCAATAGGCATCATATCCCTACTCATTCAGTCATGCCTATGATGCATCAACCAGAATGTTGTTAATCTCACACAGCTTCTCATTGTGGTTATGCTGTTATGGGTCATTCCTGTTGAACTTAGCATTTGTGTAATACAGAAATTATCAACAATTAACCCACCTTTTTACGCCAGAATAAAAGGAATGAATGAATGATGTTGTTTGCAAGAGCAAAGTACAGTTATTGTAAATGAAATACAGAAGTCATACTAGTTTGAAATATCAGTATCAATACTTCCAGAATATTATATTACAGCATGATTTTCTTTTTAATTGTCACCACAAAAAAAAAAAAAAAAAGCTGTCTGGTTAAAGAGTAAACCTCGCAACTAAAGCGGCTATGTTAGCACTTGATCCTGATTCCTGTGCTATAAATTCTCTCGTCTGTAATCAGTCTCATCATATATTTCCTCCTGCACATACAACAGAACCAGGAATATAGAAGATTTAGAATCTTGGCATATATTGAATAGTTATATGCTTTTATAATGTGACTCACCTGTAGCAGTTCTTCTATGACATCTTCCATCGTGATTATGCCAATAGCTTCTCCATCTCCTGAGAGCTCAGAAAGTTGTTTCTCTTTGATGTCCAAAATTTCAGATTCCACATTTTTTGACCACTTTTTTCCTTTAGAAGTTTCTCTTTGAAATTCATGAGTAGTCTTAGGCAAGCTCTTCAACTTCTTCAGTGATCTCTTGCTTCTCAATTGCTTTTCCTGGGGCAGTTGTTTGCCATCCTTCTCCACTCTCACCTCTCTCAAAGGTTCTATAAATTTATCATAATCGAGGAAGGAAAATAAATTGGATGGAAGTTAAGAACTTAAGACTAACTTTTAGAGCATAAATGTAAATTGCATACCTTCCTGTGGATGTTTGCTGGCTGAAAGCTCTGAGTCACTATTTCTAACAACAACAGCCATATGACTATGGCCTTTTTGGAATTCGTTGAGTATGTCATACAAAGGCATGTTTTCTGAAACCCTGGGATAGAAAGCTAAATCATGAGATAAAAACTTAGCACCTCTTTTCTAAGAATTTGTATTATGGCATGCAGGCTGCATGCGACATTCTAGCCTTTTATTACTTCTGTGTAAAAAGCTACTGTACCTTGGGATTTTGCGAAATGTGACATTCTTTACCGGCACCTTGTCTTCTGGGTTAATACTCAGCAAATTCTTCACCTGCATTGGCAAGATGCCATTGGAGTAAGAAGGTAAAAAATAAACTGCACCTGCCTGAATTTTTTGTATTTATCCTTATGAAAGCAATATGCATTGACAAGAAGCTGTCACTGACAGCTTCATTACTGCAACTTCATGGTATCTCAAATTCTCAACATGTTCAAGTTTACTAAAGATCATCACAATCAATTCTGCATAGAAGTGAAAACTGGATTTGTCAATTTTACAACTTCAAAGATAAAAGAAGTACCAGGACAAGGCCTATGATATTTGTTGGATTCCCATAATAAACTGGAACCCTGCTATGTCCTTTATCCTTTATCATATTCATCAAATTCCTGTCATATTACAAAAGAAAATATGAGATTTAACTGCTTGGACCCCGGCATATTCATTTCCATCAGATTCAAACTTTCAAAGAGATCTTGTGATAATAAAGTTCACCTTTCGAGATTAGAATTAATATCGATGGAAAAAGTGTTTTCTATAGGAGTCATAGCATCTCTTGCTGTTTTTTCTGTGAGTCCAAGTGCTCCACCTATGATAGTAGTCTCATCATGGGTAAGTTCTCCTCCTTTTCCTGCCTGTTCACATGTATAGAATATAGATTATCAGCTTATGTCTCGTTGTCTTGTTTATCAGGTTTCTGTTCATTAAGGAAGAAATAGTGAGGTGCAGCCACCTCATTTCCATGCAAGTCGACTAGAGTTTTCAATTCAGCTCGCCGAAACAATGCTTTGTGTCTCTTCCCCAACAAAAGGTCCAATAGCTGGTAAAGGAGAGAAAATGAGGGAAGGAAGTATGTAGATTCTGAAATATACCTGTTATTTGGAAGGGAAAAAAAGGAGAGAAATGGAGAGCATATTGAGTTAGTTCTATCACCTTGCTTATTGGATATGCAACAGGGAAACAAATCCAGACAAGAACTCGAACAAGAGGGGCAACAGCAGCACCAATTGCCAAACCATACCGCGAGCAAACAGCTTGTGGGATGATCTGTAATGCAACATAATATTAGTTTAAATCCGATTCGGGTTTCCAATCTTGGTTAAGAGTACTACTGTACTAGTTATAGGCCTATAGGGATCTCACCTCACCAAACAATAGTATCAGTGTCACTGAAAGAAGAATAGCACCCCAGGCTGCAACCAAACTGTCAAGAAATATTGGAAGGGCCTGCAACAATGTCATTTTACAGTTTTACTTTTTTGCATATATACCAAAATACTTATTTTATTCAACACTCTTTCTTTATGGTTAATTACCTCCATGGCAGCTGCATTGCATATTAAGAGGGTACAGAGCAACAAGTGCTGTCTCTGGACAACAGGTAATATCTTTGCTGCCCAAAAAAAAAAAAAAAAAAAAAAAAACAAAACAAAACCTTACTACTTTTAAAAGAATGGTTTATATTCAACTGCTCATTAAACTATCACATCTGCTATCTGGCTGAAGAGAACAGGGTTTTACTATTCTTTTAATTAACTACTTTAAAGACGAAGCAAAGAAACACATGGGGGAAATTACAAGCATTTTTACGATCAGCAGGAGATCCAGCTTTAGCTATTACTTCAAGGTCTACGAGACTGAGCGACATGAGTCCCAGGGTGAGTCCTGACATCAACCCAGCAAACACTACCAGTATGAAGCATATTGCGATTCGTATGAAGAATTGTGAACCGCAACACGAATACTGCACTGCCATTCAACTTCACTGCCTCTCTTTATTCCTTTCTCTTATCGGTTATGATCTCTCAGGTTTTCTCTGATCAAATGAAAGGGAAAGAAAGAGAGTTCAATGATTTTAACAGTCTTGATTGAGATGTGAATGTTTCAAGATTTTATCAAATACTGGAATCGTCTGGAACTGGAAGCTGACAACTTTTTGCCTGTATTCTCTTGGTTGCTTATATTGAAAGAAAGGGAAATTTTTCAAGGCCCACCGAAAGTGTAAATCAAGAGTTACTGGAATAAAATTTAAAGTAGGTTTGATTTGATGAACAGAATAAGCAGAAATCTTTTGAAATGAGGAAGATTTGGTGCTGTTCCTGATTCCCTGCTGTGTTGTCTACAAGCAATATATCCACAACTCACCATCTTCTATTTTGGGTTATGTCAGCATGTCACCTGTAAATTCTAGCATGTCTGATAGTATTTTTTTATTGCCATATTTATCATTTGGCTAAATTAGAAAAAAACACCTGTTAAAAGACCTAATTTTGTTTTTAACACCTTAAGATTTCGAAGTTTAATTATAACACCTGTTAAAAAATAAAAATTTTGCTTTCACCACCTAAATTGGAACAACGTTAGAGGATATGTTAGCTGGGCCCACAATAACGGCTATTTTTTCCAAACTGCTTTATATAGTTACGACATCCTTCACTAATGTAGAATTGTTGAGCTGATTACACAAAATTGCTTCACATTTTGCGAATTCTGACTAACAAATTGGCGAAATTGTTTGATTTTACCATCATTGTTTGGGGGACGTAGATATCAAATCAGGTAATTGCGTCAATAGCACTTTAGAAACCCTAATTTATCTTTCAAAAATAAGGCGTAAATTAATCTATATGTTGTTGACTTAAATGCATAATTCAGGTCGTATCTGGCAATAGTCATGTAATTCGTAAATAGTTAGGGTTCATTGTGTGTTAATTGTGCTGTAATTTGCGAGAAAATGAAATTAGGGTTCATTGTAGAAATAATTTGGGGGTTTTGATTTGTAGGAGTGACTGTTTAATTCCCTTGGTTCAATTGTATTTTTTTCATAGTACGAATGGTTTTGCTTATTATGGATGGCAAATTGGTGCAGGAAATGTCTTCTACAAGTTTCTCACCTTCAAAGGAGAAGAAGTGCAAATGTGGTGTTCCCTTTGCAAAGCTTACCAGTTGGACAAGGGAGAACCCTGGTCGTAAGTTCAGAACATGCAAGTTCTACGATCCTGTAACTGAGAGCAGAGGTTGTAAAGCATTTGAATGGGTGGATGAACAAGATGGGACAGCCTGGCAAACAGAGGTGATCAACAATTTGTTGCTAGATAAGAAACTGTTGAAGGGGGAAATTAGTGATTACAAGAGGGAAGTTGATGATCTTGGTGGACAGTTGAGGTGCTTGCTGAATGAAGTGGACAGGCTGAAAATGAAATGCAAGGCTTTAAACTCTGACAGGAACAAGATGAACAGAGAGATGCATGGAAGGAATGCTAGATCAGATCACTCTGTTCTTAGTCTTGCTGTTGGGATTAGTTTGGTCATATTAGTGATCCTTCTTATTAGGGGGTTTGTAATGCATTAAGTATAACTTGTAATGCTAGTAATTGCATGAAACAGTAATATGGTAATGTAATGATTTATAAGTGGCAGTGAACCACTATTGCAAGCAAACTAATGTACACAATTATGAAAGCAAAGAATTAAGTAAGTACCTAAGTAGTTGATATTGCATTTAAGTTGTTGATCAAATTTGTTGTTGCAGTGCCTAACAAAATTGGCTGGTAAAGCCTTAAAGCAAAGTATTAATTTAACAAAACAGGATCCTTGTCCTATACCCAAAAGTAAAGCTACAAATATTGCAACTGATTGTTCAGAAAATACAACCAACAACTAAAGTTCAGAAAAACAATTCAAACATCATTGTGTCAGCCCTCCTTGTCTGGAAGTCAGCAGCTTAGCCCTCCTTGTCTGCACTCCAGTAGCATTGGGTTCAGGTTGGCTGGAAGAGGGAGTGGTGTGATGCTTGGCTTGTGGCTGCCCTTGTTGACTGTGTGAACCTTTCCTCTTACTCAATGGTTCACAGCCAGGTTGCTCTTGGGGAAAAGTCATATTCCCAATGCTGTTTGGACCAGCCCCTATTGCACTCTGTTTATTAAACACAAATACCAATAAACAAGTATCAACATCCAATTTCATCACAAATTTTAAAAGAAAAGTTACAAATCCAACAACATACCTTCTTAGCAGCTTTGATCTCCCTCTTCTTCCTTTGCTCAACTACCCAAGGTGAATTTAAAGGAGGCCTTCCTGCAGTTCTCTGCTCAGTTGGTTCAGGTTCATGTGGGCCCTTGCAAGTCTTGGGATAGTGGCCAAATCCACCACAAATCCTACACTGACTTTTCCTCCTCTTTCTTCCCTGCTCCCCTCCTGTTGCAGATGTTCCCTCCCCAGGTTCCAGCTTCCTCTTCTTCTGTTTAGGTCTTCCAGGCTGCTGTTTGAATGCTGGTGGATGAGGCTCTCTCATGTTCACTCTCTCCCAATGCTTTGGGCCTGGCATAGGTTGAATTGCAGGCTCATATGTTGCTCTGTAAGTGTCCATAGTGTAATAGGGGTGGACAAACTGCTCAGCATCAACCCTCTGATCCATTATGCATGCAAATGCATGAATACATGGGATGCCTGTTAATTGCCAGTGATTGCAGGAACAAGACCAATTTGGCAAGTCAACTAGAACCTGGTCATCATTCAGCTGCACTTCATAAGTGTCATCCCTGGCAGCTTAAATTATGCAATTCCTAGCCACATAGCTCATCCTCTGAAATAGCTTATGCACATATGGAGTGATGTTGGTTGTGATTTCCTTGGAGTCCTCCCACTTCTCATTATTTCTCCTCATCATGTACCTCCTCATCCATTCCATTTGGGTGAGGATAGGTTTGTCTCTTGCATCTCTGATAACAGAGTTGAAAGTCTCACACATGTTGTTTAGTAACATGTTGGACCTGCAACTGTCACTGAATGCATGTCTGCACCAGTGATGAGTGGGGATGTTCTCCAAATAATTGTAAGCATCCTCATCAAGCTCCCTAATATGTTGCATGGCTATCTGAAACTCAACCTACAACCACAACAGGAACATTATCATGAAAGAATAACATACACAACTGTTGTTGCTCTTATTTTGCTTTTATACACAACAGGAACATTATTACATGAAGTAGGTACATGAACAGGAACAATATCATGCATTTACTTATTCAAAATAATTTAAGGTCACCTAGAGACTTACAAATGTTGTTGCTCTTGCAGCACTCCAAAAGAGCTCTTTGAAATCTGATCCAGTGAACTTCAACTTGAAATTTGCCCAAATGTGCCTAACACAGAACCTAGTCTCTGCATTGGCACAACTTCAGACAGAGCTTCAACCAGTCCCTGTTTAACATCATCAACAATTACTTGTCACACTTCAAACAATAAAGAACAGGACAGAAAATAAGACTACAATAATCAAAACAATATTACCTTCTGCCTGTCTGACATGAAGGTGAAGCCTGCCCCATCTGCACTTCCAATGCATTGCATCAAGGATTCCAGAAACCAGACCCAAGTCTCCCTGTTTTCAACCTCACAAGTTGCCCAAGCAATGGGGTAAATGCTGTTGTTCCCATCCTTGGAGACTGCAACTAAAATCTGGCCTGGATAACCTCCTTTCAAGTGGCATCCATCCACCCCTATAATTGGCCTACAACCCTTCAAGAACCCATCCTTCAAAGGCCTTAAACAAATAAACATCCTCATAAACAAGGGAGGCTCAGGCTTTTCAATGCCATCAATCACAACATTACAACCAGACCCAGGGTTGTATTTCAGTACAGCCTTCCCATAATCCCATACCCTAGCATATTGCTCTCTTGCTGAACCAAAAATGATCAACTTAGCTCTACATCTTGCCATCCAAGCCCTGTAGTAGGTCACTTCTACCCCCAAGTCATGAAGCACCCTATCCTTGATTTGCTTAACCTTCCATGATGGGTTAGTTCTGAAATCCTCAAGATACCTCTCAGCAATGAACTCTGCTGTGACCTTCTTGTTCTCCCTGCTTCTCACACATTTATGCTCCAACTTCATGGTTTTTATTTGCCAAGTCTGTTGTCTTTTTAACTTAGTAGCATGGATCTTGAAACTACACTTCACTCCACCCCTGCATATACACAAAGGCATCCTACTTGTCTTTGTGTCAAACTTGCACCCACACCTATTCCTACACTGAATAGTAATCCTAGTACTATCATTGTGTTAAAAATAGTACTCATACCTATTCTGTATGGCATGCACTCTTAAAGCTTTCCTCAACACTGTAGCATTGCTAAACCTAAGCCTATGAACAAGTACAACAGGCTTTGAGAAGTCAGATTTGTCATTAAACCATGGACTTTTGTCCTCTTCATCAGATGAACCATCCAAGCTCCTTAGGTCATCTGATTCTCCCTCAATTTCTTCTTGTAGTTGTACCTCATTCACATCCAAGTTATCTGTCAACCTTGCCTTTGGATCCTTGGAAACCCCCTCATCATGTACATCAAACTGCTTCCCAAGACTTCTTGTTACCTTAGCTAAAATTTCTTCAGAATTCTGCACAAACCACCTCTCATCCCCACTGTCATACTCCTCCTCTCCAGGCTCCCAAGTTATGTCAATCTCACTCCCATCACTTGAAGAAAAATCATCTTCCCTCCCAGTCTCACTCTCACTGCCTTCACTACTATCCTCAAAAATCAATCCTTTGCCTACAAATTTTTTTTTCCCTTTCCCTTATCCAACACCTTCACACTGCCAGAACCCCTTTCAAGCTTAGCTTTACCCTTTTGTTTCCCCTTACTCAACAACTTCCCTTTACCAGGAACCCCCTTAATCTCAACAGAAACCCCTTCAACCCTTTCTATCCCCTGTCTAGATCTAGGTTTAGGAGATTCTTCACCCTCCCTCACCTTAGGCTCATTTTTGTTAATTCTTGGGCTCTTCCTAACTACAGCAGGCTTACCTGAACTTTTCTTCCCCTTTCTCTCAGCCTTTACTGGAGTGGACTGGGCCTGGATCTCATGTATGGGCCTTAATGTTTCATTAGCAGTCACAAATACTTCAACATACCCTTCCCCATTCACTGTCTCCAGCAGCCCCTTCACTTCCTCTTCATTTACTAACTCCCTTCTCCCTGTGTTAAAGGTCCTACCTCTTTCTTTATACCAAAGTCTGTAGTTAGGTGGGACATGGACATTAAAGTTCACAAACCCATGCACATCAGCTACCCTCAAATAATGCAAATCTATCTTATCCACTACCACATCCCTCCTCCAATAACATAACCCACCACACCAACAAAGCAAATGCTTTGATTTTGACACTTGTTTAGTAACAAAAGCACCCCCTACTCTAAATACTATATCAATTAATCCATCTTCGTTGTCGGCCATTTTTCTACCTAATAAACAAATGCAAAGCAAATCAATAAAACCCAACATAGCTAACCCCATTACACAGTCAACCGCAATACTTTAATCAACAAAATCAAACATATTTAAACCAACACAATGGCAAACCAGTCAACAGTCAATAAAATCAATGATTTAAACTAAATAATTCACACATTACACTAAATCATACTTAATTTAATCAAATTCAACTTTAATTACAAATTAACCCATTTTACTGTTCTTAGGGTTCCTAATTTTTTTTCCCAAATTACCCTACTACACCCACACAAATGGCATAATGCAGCACACAGTACTTGTTGAAAACTACCTTAAAGGGTTCGAAAGGTACCTGTATTGGAATCTTACTCCTGTTGCTGTCAGAATCCACGAAAAAGTCCAAGCTTTTTGGATGTTGGAAATGGCTGACGGAATCTCGCTGACTTGTTTCGCTCCAATATTGACACCTCCTCTTCCAACTCAATTTCTCAATCACAATAATCAGTATAGGGTTTGAATGTTCGCAGTAATTTTGGTTGTTCAAGATTTGCAGACGAAATTCAATGAAGCAAAATTAGTTGGGTGGTAATAAATGACAGAGAAGATAAATTCGAATTGAAGGGGATGGAATTTGGAGGGTAAACGACTATGTGGGCCCCACCAAAAAATTCCGTCACAGTTTCTGTTATCTGGTGGTGAAAGCAAAATTTTTATTTTTAACAGGTGTTATAATTAAACTTCGAAATCTTAAGGTGTTAAAAACAAAATTAGGTCTTTTAACAGGTGTTATTTTCTAATTTAGCCTTATCATTTTGACATGTTTTTATTAAACAATTTTTGTCCAAGTGTTCAGGAATTCTTGATCTGCTTATCTCTACACAAATAAAAACCCGAAACATCATTTGAGGGTAAAGTTGCGAACTTCACTTATTTTGCCCCAATTTTTACACTATAGATATGGCACTAGGTCGTGCCACTAATGGGTGGCATGGCCTAAAGTACGTCACCTCCATTCTTAATGACGAGTAGACTCAGTAGAGTAATACAAAGAAGTTAGTTCATGTCAGCTTATGAGTTATGACTCGCCCGTCTTGCCATTCTGATCTGTACCAATTACCAAACATGGTCCAACAATGACCAAGGAGCCTTGAACCACCAGCGGGCTTTAGTCGGACCATGCCTCAAGTGTGATACAGCATTACAGCCCACTGGAACCATCTGGTGCCAAATTCGCCAATGTTAAACCTCAACATCTACGACTACAAGCCTCAGTGATCTAATTTTCACAGCAATATTCATCAAGAAAACAAGCATGATAAACAAGAATCAATTAGCAATCAAAGGTATTTCCCTTCTACAATCTCAACTCAGGCGGCTTTCTCACCTTCAATCACGCCATTTCTTCTCTCAATTTTCTCTCTCTTCACCAGCTTCTTCTTCCCCTGCAATCCCTTCTTCAAACCCATCACTCAAAACCCCATTTTGCCCCTTCTCTCATACACCCTCTTTGTGTAGAAACTCAAATGAGGAAGACCCAAATCGAAGTTCTGAAGGTACGCCGAAGCTTGTGGTGGTTCAGCCACGTGTCCGACCAAATGCCAATTTACAGGCCAAGCTTAACGAAGCTCTTAACCTGGCTAATTCGTTGGATGAACAAAGGGATGGTTACTTTTCTACTGATTTGAGTCTGAAACAATTGCCCCCGCATGTTGTTGTTCAGAACCCACTTTCTAGTTCCGGCAAGGGCCGCTCAGGTTGCTTCTTAGTCTTTTGATCTAATTTCGCAAAGTTTCCATTTATTTTACTGTTTTGTTATATGTAACCATAAGGGGTTACGAAGGAATTTATGACAAAATCATGTGTCTGTCGTATCATATTTCTTCATTTTGGTGTAGGAAGTTGGGTTTTAAATGGGGGTAGGGTAATGCAATGTACATTGTAGTAAATTGTAAGAATGGCATGTTCTCATGTACAATTGTGGCATTTTTTAAAAAGTGTTTTTGATGTACTCTCTTAATCCTGAAATAAAGTCACACAATGCTGTTTTGGGATAATCTAAAAAAGTTGTCACCTTTACTAAAATCGTAATGGCTTGTGGTTTTTCTTAAGCTGTTGGAATAGTATGAGAAATATGGATTTGAGAAAGGTTTAGTTTGAAGATGAACATAGACAGTGATTGTGAAATAATGCCTGATATATTTGAGTTTGACATAAATTGGTGAGTTGAGGACTTGAGGGTTGGGGTGAATAATATTGTGATGGTGTTGATTTGGTTTATGTGCTGAAGATAAGAGTGTTTAGATCATTTTGTGAATGCACTTCATTTAATACATGTGCAGATACGTTCTTTGGACCGGGGACGGTGGAAAACGTTAAGTGCCATATACATGCCATTGAATCAGAGGCAAGGAACTTATAATTTTATATAATATCCTGTACAAGTGATACTTTATTGTTTACATTATATGCTTTGGCTGTGTTCTGATGCATTATCATTGTGTTTGTGTAGCAAGGTGAAGTGGATGCTGTATTTGTAAATGCAATTCTGTCTGCAATACAGCAGAGAAATCTGGAAGTAAGTTGCTTAAGTTGTACTTTGTATTTTTCTTTCAATGAACCAAGTAAAATATTGCAAGGGAAAACCTTAATTGTTGTAGTATATTGAGTACTTATGAGTGAGCATTTATCCTGCTGTAGAGGGCTTGGGAGAAACCTGTTTTAGATCGTGTGGGGCTTATCATAGAGATTTTTAATGCTCATGCATACACTAAGGAAGCAAAACTTCAGGTACAGTTATTGTTTTCATTCATTCATTTTCTGTTGTGTTCCTGATAAAATCAGAAGTTATTACCTTACATTCATCAAGATATGGCTTTGTTTTGGAACTATCCAATTTTCTTCTGATCTTTTTAGACTTTCAGGCTGAGTTAGCAGCTATAATGTATAAGAAGAGTCGGCTTGTTCGTGTACGGGCTTCTGATGGACGTTACACTTTTGGAACAAAAGGAGAAGCTGAAGTTGTGAGTGCTCGAGGGTTAGTCCCCTACTCTACAGAATTGTATTGGTGTATTTGGATGGTTTATTGAAGCTTATAATTTGTTGGGCTGGTGGCTAAGAAAGTTGATTTCTGCAATTCTGCCATTGTTAAAATTAAGCTAAGTTGCTTTCTAGTTTTCTCATAATTTGATGTCTAATGCCAGATATTAATACTAGACAGCAGGAGAATGACGAACTTGTGAAGGACACAATGACAATTTTGATCTGTTTTATTAAGTTACTTAGTTGTTTACTTGATTGGGATTTAGGCTGTTCTTGATTATTGCATCCTAATTCCCAAAGTCGAGTGAGCTGCATATGGATTTCTGATTTCTAGTCTCTATGGGCCTATAGGGTTGGGATCCTTGAAAAATGAGATTAAAAATGATCATGGAGTAGTACATGGTGATTTTGGACTCTTCTAAACACTGTTGTTTCATTTGGCTGTTCATTGTGTCCTTGTTATCTTCTGACATGAACCAGTAACCGATATTACCTGGCAATCTGATTAAAACATGAAAACTGTTCTGCTTGTGCTTACCCTTCATATGTTATTGAGGTCTATGTCTCGGCTGTTTCTCATCTTAGCTTAAATCGTTGGTCTGTAATTGAAAGCATTTCTAATTTGCACTATTGCACACTACAGGAGAGGAAGTGGTGGTCGTGGTTTTATAAGTGGTGCTGGAGAAACCGAGCTTGAGCTTCAACGTCGAAGGTTTACTTCTTAAACCTGATTTTACTAAACCTTTATAAACTTGGTAAATACTTTTCTTGTCTTTTGAAGAGTTGTATATGTCAATGAAGGATGCAGTGCATATTGCTGTGCTTAATAATAATAAATCATGCAGAGCATCATACTTGTCCAGTTGTTTCTAAGTCTTTCTACATATAATCCCTGATTTGTGTGGATCAGGGTTGAATCTGGCTCTTATAATTGTGTGATCATTGCTAGTCCTGAAAGCAGTGTACAAGCTGAAATCACACACTTTGGAGCTCTAGCTTTTTTGCATGGAAGTGTACCTTGGACTTTCTCAGCATACTATATGCTCCTCTATAAGCAAAACTCTGTTACATTAGCTCATGCTTGGATGACATGCTTATTTTAGTATACGCAGATATGCTTCTACTGAAATTGCAGTGAACTTAATTTTGGACTTACAATGGCAGAATCTCAGAAAGAAGAAAGCGCCTGCTGGCTGAAATTGAAGAAGTTCGTAAAACACGTGCTGTGCAGCGTGCTGGTCGGAGAAAGCAAGGTGTTTTAGATGCTCCAGGGCTTGCCACTGTTGCTGTAGTTGGTTACACTAATGCTGTCAGTGATCAACGCCTCCAACACTAAATTTTTCCCTTGCCTTTCTTCACTTCTCGGAGATGAATTTTTTATCTTATGTTTTTGACTGGATAATTCTTCAACTACAGGGGAAGTCAACTTTAGTTAGTGCGCTCTCAGATAGTGATCTGTATAGCGATGATAGGTAAATGCATTATCATAATTCAAAATTGATCCTTCCATATACGGTGTAAAATTAAATCACCATGTTGGTTTAATGTGTGCAGATTATTTGCGACAGTTGACCCAAGAGTCAGAGGTGTTGCTCTTCCGTCTGGGTAATTAACTGCATAGGGAGCCCCCAACATTCATTCCTCTGGCTGGTTTTGGAGTATGGTGAAGTAATATGGCATCAAGTTAGACCTAACCTTATGAGTTATTTATTTTCAGGAGGAAGGTCTTGCTTAGTGATACAGTGGGATTTATATCAGATTTACCTGTTCAAGTGAGTTGACAGGAGATGTAAATTATACTTGTCTTTTTTTCAGAATTTGTAGTATATTAAAATTCTAATATGCATAATTTGCAGCTAATTGAAGCATTTCATGCTACCTTGGAAGAAGTTGCTGAAGCAGATCTACTTGTGGTAATTATCTTTTATATCTAGATTTTGCATTGTCAATGCTATCTTCATTACTGATCTGGGAACCAAGAAGGTAGCTCTATCTTGTAGTTTTAGACAACGAGGTAGTAAACTAGAAATCCTACTAGTTACGGTGTTTGGGGATGGGGTTTTCCCTTACCCCCCCCCCCACCTTTTCCCTCCCCTCCCTTCAGCATGGCCGGCAAATCTGGGCTGAGTTCCATGAGGGATATGGCGTAGTAGGATTTTCTACATCTTACCCAAAATTGCAAAAATGATTTAGAATTGAATGTGCTTCTCTCAATGATCATGAAACTGGTTGGTGATTGATTATGCACATGATGTACAGCATGTTCTGGATTCCAGTGCATTGAATCTTGAGGAGCAACGAGAAGCTGTATTAGATGTCTTGAGACAAATAGGTGTTTCAGGGAAAAAGATTGAATCCATGATTGAGGTTTGGAACAAGGTATATCTATATTTTAATCTTTCCAATTCTTTCTTTTTCCTTTTTTGTCATTCTGGACAATTAAGATTACTATGATGAATAAAATTTTTAAAAATTAATTCTCAGATTGATCTGGAAAGAGATACAGACACAGACACAGACACTGGGATCGGAAATTTCAACAATGACAATGACTACAGGTTCGTAGAGGATGAAGATGAAATAGCTGATAAACAACTGCAGGAAGATAAGGAGAACCAACAAAATGACGACTCAAGTGACTGGCTTGGATCAAGGAATGTCAATGAAGATGAGGAAGATCAACTTTGCTCTTCTAAGATTTTGACGGGAGTAGTTGATCAGAAAACAGAACCCTTAAATGAATCAAGCATAAAGGAAGATGGCCCAGACACTCATTCCGAAAGTAAACACATTCCACATGTCAAAACTTCAGCAGTAACAGGGGTAGGATTGCAGGAGCTGCTTGAGCTCATTGATGATAAGCTGGTGCAGATTGACAAGGAGCAACGTTCATCACAGAGAGTACTGGAGAAGAGTGAATTTGACCGTAAGTGGCGGCCTATTCAAGCTGAGAAGGTGGGCATTGCCGTGGAATAATTACGTGCTTTTTTTTTCCCTTCATAATAGGCACAACTCGTACAACCATAAAAATAATGTGCAAGTTGGTTATACTCCATACCTAGTTAATAGTAATTAACTGTCAAAGAGGTTACCAAAAATGTCGGTCTTTTATTTTCATGTAGAATTTTGTATCTTAAAAGTAGCCCAACTATTGTTAGTTCTTGTTAAGATTTTCAATCACATAAATAATATAGTTGGATTTTGAACTGCTTTTGTTGATTTGGAATACTTGATTAGGAAGAGTCAGTGTAGTATACTACGTATTTATAATTAGAAAGTATAAATTCCTATCATTGAGTTGGTCTTTGAGCACTGTCTGGAGAGTTAGGGCATGGAATTGGTGGCATTTCACCTAAAAAATTCTGACTAAAGGAAAAAAAAAACCCATGGTTCAATAATTTTTTTTTTTGACAAGAAATAATTTATTTTATGTTTGGTATTGGTATGAAATATTGGAAAGAAAATAAATAAGAAGAAAGGGTAACATAAAGGGTTACCATTAGTTTTTGTTTGGTATGCTGAAGGAAAAGAAACTCCTTGTGTTAAATTGGGAATTGTGGAGGGAAATTTTTTTGTTACCATAGAGTTGGGAGAGGTAACAAATGGGGGCCAATAGTTACCTAAAGAGATGAGGTGTGTTACCCACCTCTCATTCCAGAAAATAGCTAATGTCAATGTTAAATAATATACCATTATTCAAAAATACTATACCAAACATGCTATAAGTCTAATAATTTGGGAGACTATAATAACCATAAAATTAAAAAATAAAAGAGGTTATTTCATTAGGCTAGTATAATATCATCTCAAACTACCGCTATCAGCTAACATAGCCTTTTCGCAATTTGTGTTCGTTCCAATCTCGTAGGCGAGCGGCTTTGACCATTTCTCCCCTAGAGCCCGTCTTTAAACCCAAATGGCCTTTTGGGTCTCATGGGGTCCATGACTCCATGAGGAGCACCTTGTTCGCTTTCCTTTGGAAACCCTTATATGATAAAAAATGCCAAGTATGGGATTGGGACAAGGCACGGCGCCTAAGTGTTGGGGTGTTGGATGGTGCAAGGGGGCGTGTGGACATGGGCACAAGACATGTGCACCAAGGACAAGGCATACAAATAGATATTTTTGGCATTTGAGGGTATGTCATCTTTGCCTTAAGACATGATGATTAAGGATGGAAAAAGCATGAATGAAATGGTTGCGTGCACTAAGTATGGCTCTCAAGGTCCTTTGGGAACCCTTGTAAGTACCTGGATACATAATCTTGCTGGGTGAAAAAATGATTTACGGAAGCCAAATTTGAAGGTTATAATACACGAAATCGGAGCAATTTAGGAGGTTTAGGGACCTGAGTCAAAAATTCACAAAATAATATGGGATGCATCCTGAGGTCATAAAATGTTGTTTGGACTCATATACAACCATTAGTCAGCTGCATAAAGGCCCCGTGAAAGCTTATAGCCAATACAAAAGGCGTATACGAAAACGGCTAAATTGACAGTTTAAAGGCAAAGTGGATGGCTCCACCCACTCAAATGGACTCTCGGAGTGTATTGGGGTCTATGGGAAGCATCTCAACAATTCACGCTTTTGGAGCAATTTCAGATGTTTCAAGGCCTAGTGTCGTAAATTATCGAGATAATAGGGGATACATCCCAGGGTCATATAATGTTGTTTGGAACCATATATGATCATTATATGTTGTGATAAATGTCCATGGTGGCCTTGAGTTAATGAAATCGGCGTAAGTTGTAAACGACTAAATTGATAGTTTAAGGGAAAATTGGATGGTTCCACCCACCCAAATGGACTCCCGGAGTGTATTGGGGTCCATGGGAATCATCTCGATAAATTTTTTTTCTAACTCCAAAAAAGCCCGAAATTGTCCAAAATTGAAGGTTATATAATACACGATTTCTGGTCAATTTTGGAATTTTTTTCCAAAAATTAACTAAATGCGCGGGGTGATCCCTGGGGTCATATAAGTTGGTTTGAAATCATAAGACACCTATAAAGATGTCTATAAAGTTCCAAATATGAGTTTTGTTTTATTCAATTATGTTGCTATTTTAAATTATGTTACATTATTATTGGTAGTAAAAGAGATGGTTCCAATAATAACCAATATGGACTCATTCATCTTCTTTTGTATTGTTGGTTATTCTCAAATTCATTATAATGTTGATTTTCAATATTATACTAAGTTAAATATTTTTAAAATTGAAGGCTTCAATTCACGCTTTTAAGCCAATTTTGAAAAATATTAGAAGACTGAAGTTAATGTAAGGGATGACCCATGGGGTCACAAAAGTTGGTTTAAGCATACCAATATTTTATAAAGTCCTAAAATAGAGTTTGGTTCTATTACAAGATCATTGTGAAAATCTCGAAGGTGAGCTACTCAACCATTACTCTCCCCCTAGGTCTCATAGGAAGCACCTCGTCGCTTTTCCTTTTCAAATTTGAAAAAGTAAAAGATTATCTAAAGCCAAAGGCTATAATCTACACTTTCGAACAAATTTCGGAAAATTTTTGCAAAGTTAATAAATGGATGTGGGAGGTATCCCGTGGGTCACAAAAGTTGGCTTTAGACCAAAATAAAAATGCCAATAGATCTATAAAGTCCTAAAAATAAGTTTGGCTCCATTATGAGGCTATTTCAATCTTAGAGGAGAGTTGCCCAACCTTCTCTCCCCTAAAGCCACCCTAAATCCCAAATGACCTCTTTAGGTCTTGTGGGGTCCATGAAAATCCTCTCATCCTTTTTCCTTTTTAGATGTTGAAAAGTTGAAAATTATTTAAAATAGAAGGCCACGTCTATCTCGTCTTTCTCTAAAAAGTGATTCGATCGATGAGATTTTTATATTCAAATCTTTCACTGAAAAACAGAATCCATGCATACTATATTATACAGTGGATTCATTACATCCCGCAAGAGTTCGTAGAACGAAGAGAGTGTACAACTGGGGTTCGTGAAGAACTCTACTTTTTTGTTCGTAACGAGGATGAGGGTTAATGAACAACTAACGTTGTCTCGATTCTTCCCGCCGCAAGCTTCTTGTGAAGACATTTTACGTGTGAGGCAGCGCTTGGAGCAGTACATGCAATTGCTCAATCGCCAAACCACCCCGACGGGGTTCCATTTTTTGCAGCTCTGACCTTCCTGATCCTGTAACTGGTTTCTCCCCTGGTCTATGATTGCTCTCTTTAAGACCCTACCGGAAGGTTCATTCGAGAGGACCGGTACGGTCCGCTTGGGGCCCTTCCGCAATAAATAGCATATATAAGAAAAAGAGAGTGGCAGACTGAAGGAACAGTTAGAGTGAGCCTTCAAGAGGAGTTCGGCTTCCACCCAAACGTTTTTCTTGTATTAGTTATTTATTTATATGGGGCGATGGGGAGTTGATACCACCGTCGATGAGTAAATGCTTTCATAGCCAGATAGATGGTACATTCCCAACTCTGATTAAGACTAATAGTTGAAAGAAGTCATGCTATACCTATTCTACATGCCAAATCGTCTTCTTTTCATCAAACCTTCCACCAGCTATTGATTCTCAGCAGCCTATTCTATCAAAGGTATATTAGGAGTGGAATCAAAATAATGGGCCAATCCTAACGAGTCCAAACAAATTTTATCTTATTGTATGGGTTTGGTGGCCTGAAATTGACTTGGCTTCGCCAAAGGCCTCATCTTTATAAGCTTGGCTCGCAAGGCGCCCCTCTTGCAATAGGTGTAACACCCTAGAAATTTATTTTCTCTAAAATACCTGTTTTGCCCTTTTTAAATACGAAATAGGAAATTCTAAGACATTACCACCACCGTGAAAACGGCTAAGGTAATTATCAAAGACACACAGCAGAAGACTCTCTTTAAAAACCATTCAAACAAGTCACCTTAAAAAGTCAAATCAAATGAAAGTAAAGTCAAATCAAAGTCAAACGAAATCAACCTACAACTTGGAACCATCGTAGGCCCTTATCAAACCAAAATAAATATTTAAAAACCATTGTGTTAGTCTCACAAGCAAAATATATAATAATAAAAGTAACAAACCACATCATATTTTTATGAAAACTAAATATGATTCGTTTTTCACTTATGTCCATCATGAACATGCTTCATCACCTAAAAAGCTCCTCTTTACTTTGTCCCCACTACTCGCCATTAAAAATGGATCGTCGTAGGGCCAAGATAAAGACAAGGCCAAACAAGCATACAACACACAATCGACAATGCTAAGTACATAAGCGTAAACAGTACACACTAACATGCTTCAATACTATCAACACACAACTTACCTTGTTGCACCTGTTTTCAAGCATACAACACAACCAACAAGTACATATACCACTAAATTGCTTATTTAATTTGATTACGCATCGAACGTGTTTTCCACCAAATCCCTGCCCCAAATAAATTGAGGTAAACTACGCCGAGAGCTAACCGGGTAGGCAAATGCCACATGAAGTGACTGGACGTCCTGCGAATAAAATAAATAAAAAGGAAAATACAGCGTCCTGTACTATCAGTAGAAGTCATGGTTAAATATAAAACCCCATAACTCCCCCCATATGTTCACACTCAAGATATATACGTTCCAAGAGTTTTGGTGCGTAATCTCTTTCACTTTATGTTGTTTACATATTTTAGACTTGGTGAAGACTCTTAAACCATAACACAATCAATCATAATAAATCATTCAAGCAATCAAACATACCAATTTAATTCTTGAATAATTAATGACCACATAATTTAATGTTGAATCCTTTTTTAACTACCTCGGTGTTAAATAACACCTTAAGTGCATAAGGCACCGCAAATCCTATCCCTCGGTATTTAGAACACCTTAAGTGCACATAGGCACCGCAATGTAATTTATCCCTGTGTACTAAGACACTTATTAGCTCAATTCCCATGCTTAAAGCATCTATAAAAATTATATGAACTACAATAAAATTCTCTTTTAACATTCCAAACCAAATTAAAGATTTAGTTTAATTAAATAAGCTCTCAATCATGCCAATAATAAAATTTTAGTTCATACTCAACATGCCAACATAATTCCAATCATCAATTCACCACAAATAATTCATATTTCACAATTAAATCACCAACATCAATCCAATCAACAATTTCAACCAACAACTATCATGATACTACCTTGGAATTAATTAAACAAAGTCTAGCATGCTTCTATACACTTAAATAATTACCG